GTCAGACGTTAGCACCTCGTTTTCTAGCTCGCGCCCATTTCGAAACAGCGCCTCATGTTTCTCTTCTTATATAAAAAAAAAAGAACATAGCTCAAATCCAGAGCATCACCCTCTAGAGTCTTCCACCTACAACATTTCAAGCAATACCAATTAGGGTTAGTCTAAACATCTTTAAAAGAAATTAAAAAGAAGAAGATGGATCAAGTAACTCACCAGAGCTCCTCAACAACGATGGCACAATCTGCAAAATTCCTTCTGGTCATGTAACTCTTGTACACCGTTGTAACGTAGTTGCAGCTGCATCAAGTTCGGTGAGATCTCTTACTATCCATAAATATAAAAAAATAATGGATCCACCGATAATGTAAAAGAAGATACTTAATTGATGCATACGATATTAGATCTCTTAGGGTATTGATAAAATAAAGAAAAAGAAGGAGGAACAACTTTTCAATAAATTAATCTGGCACTAACGAATCCATATATTGCACGATCAAAAGCAATCTCAAAATATTTTAAACCTAATAAAAATTGCGTAACCTAAAAACAATTCACTCAACTTTTTGTTTCAAGAAAGCAAATATCCTAAATAAAATATCTATATTTTTCGTATGAACCCATCCCTGGATGTAACAGAATCATAAATATGAAAGACAAAATGAAAATATTATTTTAAATATACGAAATCACAAATTATTTAAAACAAAACAAAAGAACCAAATCTCAAATATCAAACAACTTAATCAACTGATCATTCACAACCAGAGAAATCAATGTAAAAGTAGAAATACACCAATATGAAAACACAACCACTAATAAAAAACAATGATACCTCTACAATCTCAACTTTGAACTCGTCTTGGATAGCCGCTCATAGAGAAAAAGGATCAAACAAACCCTAATATTTTTGGAGAATTTATGCTTGACTAAAAAAAGAGAAATACCACGTTTACAAACTCTAAAACGTGGAAACATTAGAACCTTAATCTAAATTATAAATCCATAATGAAAACAAATTATATATAAAAGATCGAATATTACCTATCCACCGGTTCATAAAAGATCGAGTATTACCTATCTATATATATATATATATATATATATAAAACTTAAAAGAAGGAAAACACTGGAATGTTTAAAATATTCTCATCTCTAATACATACAAAGTAGTATTAATAACAATGTACAATTGATATTAAGTATGATTATGCAAAGAATAATCATTTTCCAAGAGCATGACCAATAATACTTTAAGATGAAAAAAAAAACAGAGCAGAGTTGAGATGTAATACATACCGAAACTCCATTTGAGTTAACCTAGGGAGAAGAAGAAGAAGTCGTAGTTATTGAGATGTAATACATAGCAACATCCCTCTTCAATGGAAGATCAGGGAATGGTAACTCAAAATTCAAGACTTGTATCGCTTGTTTTATCGAAGGTCTCGAGCTTTTTTATCAGGATGAGCACACCACAACCCTAAAACCAGAAGACACTCAGCTTCTTTATTATCGAATTCATTACCCTATTTCTCATCAACAGACGAAGTCATCACTTCTTGTTTTCCATAAAGTTTCCAAACTTTCTCCACAAGACTCTTCTCATTACTCTCTGAATCACTGTTATCTTCTTGCGTTCGTTCCAGCGATTTTCTCCCTGTGACAATCTCTATTAAAACAATTCCAAAGCTATATATATCAGACTCTTTACTCGCACTTCCTTTCGTTACATATTCATGTGCCATGTACCCAAAAGTTCCAACCAATCCTGTTGTATGGGAACCATGTTCATGGTTCATAACCCGAGCCAAACCGAAATCACCTAACTTTACATTGAAATCACTGTCAAGCATTATATTGCTTGCTTTGATGTCTTTGTGCAGTACACATTGATCCCATTCTTCATGAAGATAAAGCAGAGCAGAGGCTAAACCAAGAGCTATCTTGTACCTTATGTCCCAAGAAAGTAAATGGGGTCTTTTGCCAAAGAGGTGGGAGTTCAAGCTACCATTTAGCACTAACTCATATATCAGCAAGAACTCATTTTTTTCATTACACCAACCAATGAGTTGCACCATGTTTCGATGTCTCAGTTTGCTGATGACCTTAACTTCATTTAAAAACTCTTTCTTTCGCTGCCTTGAATCACTGGATAATTTCTTCACCGCAACCATTGTATTGATTTCTTTCAAATTTCCTTCATAAACCGCTCCAAATCCTCCTTCACCTAGCTCTCTATGGCTTGAGAATCTGTTGGTTTCTCACACAAGATCTTTATAAGAAAACTTTCTTGGTCCTGCTTCCCTTTCAAGATCTTCGTTTATCGATATCATGTTTGCTATATCTCTGTCTTTCTTTTTTCTTTGCTTCCGTGACCAAACCACCACGATCGTGTGGACCAAAACTATCAGTAAAACAAACCCGGAAACCGAAATGCCAACTACCAATCCTATCTTGCTATCGGCTTTCTCGATATCCAAAGTTGAACTGAGCTCCCATGATAAAAGTCTATATTCCTCTGTGTTTGTTCCAGCAGCAGCTATAAACCCGAACATTACTTCTGATGGTTTGCGAGGTCGATGATGTAAGAAAGGCTTGAACTCTCCTTAGGATCAGAGGTTGTTAGCTCATAAGCCCAAGTCACACTTAAATTCTTAGTCACAAAATCATAAGAGATCTTTGCATGACCAATATCTTGGCTTTGTTAGCTTGCATTCCAACGTTTTCAACATCGATGTGTTCTTTCCACACATCCAACCTGCAAACAAACGTAAAAATAATTAATATTTCAATTTGAAGAAATCAGAATCTATAAAAAATTAAATCATGAAATCAGTGTCATCTCAACATGAAGAAAACAATCATAATCATTCCATAGTAAATTCGATTCATTAGAACCAAAACAATACAAAATATATATATTATCAAAACTATATGTTTAGGTTAACGAATATGAGTTTTAATGGTGTGGCCGAAGCTCTATATTTATACCTTAATATCTAGGGCAAACCGTCATAATTATTTCTTAAATTTTAATTTTTAAAGATTAGAAATTTTCTTGATAAAAATATCTGTAATATATTTAGAATTTACCTTACTATTTAAAAAAAAGAAAAAGAAAACGAAAATTCCGTATTCTAAATCAAAATTGAAACAATCAAACCCTAAAGTTTTCTCTCACGATTACAAAAATTTTTTAAAGCGATTAAATTGCTTAAAAGCCCAATATCTATTTACCAATTTCATCACGATAGACATACCTATGCAATCTCGACCGATCTCGTTTTAGAGAACTCTGTTTTTCTCGAGCTTCAAAAGAGACCCAGTATATTTTAGAAAGTAAATTAATTAATGTTAGTTTCAAAAAAACAAAAAGAAAATCATATAAATAATCCATAATAAAATACAAATATATATAGTTAGATTAGAGATTACCTTCTCGTAGTCATCTAATCCCACACATTCCCTTTCTCTTTCCTTAACAGTTTCCCATATCAAAGACTCAATATGCCTCTCTAGCTCATCAATCTTCCCGTTCCCATGCTTCTTAGTCCCGAACACAACATATCTTGCAACCACAATTTTCAACAACATTACATTATATATGTTCATTCACTTAACTTGATATATTATATAGAGAAATTATTTTGAATCCACTTACGTGAAGCCATTGAGGTGAAGAGGATGTTGTTGTGAGTGATGGCCTTTTGAAGACATCTAAGCTTAGGTGTAATTCACCCCCGTCGAGTACGTGTACACTATCCCTAAACATCATTTTTTTTCCAGTAAAATTACTCATACAAAATAAATATATAACAAATTCTCAAAGCGAACTTAGAAAAACGGTGAGAACCAAAAAAAAATCTTAGTTTCTCTCAGTCAGCACAATTGATCATAAATTATTAACGATCCACGCGTGATCATAATCCAAACCCTGTACATAACAGAAAGAAACACAAACATTTAAATAGGTAAATAGATGTAAAAATACCTTTCCAAACCTCGTTCTGTTATCATCAACACCACTTTCGTCCAAAAGCTTTGTCGATAGAACCTCCCATGCTCTACAAAACTGAAACACATACCAAAAGAATCAAATCAGCAAAACAATAAATTAACAAACTAATGCAAAAAATAAAACAAACAGCAAACAATATGCACACGACCTCTAAAGGTAAATGAAAACAATATATGCATGACAAACAATTTGATTTATCAAAATCGTAGCTGTATAAAAAAACCATAATGGTGAAAACTATCTAATGGACACAGAAAAAATAATACCTAATTCTCTGGCCGATCAACAATATATATAGCTTTAAGATTAGGGCAAACATCAATTATTATCTTAAGAAATTTAACTTTTTAATTAGAAACAAAATCAGAAAACTAACAAAAACGAATATTAACTACTAAGATATAGAATTATCTAAAAAATTAACAAATAAATTTAAGCTAAGATTCCATAATCATTAAAGTCGAGACATATTATGACATCCGTATCCCCAACGATTACACTATAAAATAAAAAAATTTAAGGGTGATTAAGACTAATCATCTCAAAACACGATTAGACTTATATACCCTTAACAATTAAGAACAAAATTTTTTGAAATTGAGGGTGTTTGAGACATTATTATAGAGATCAACACACGATTAGACTTATATACCCCTAATTACGAAGAAGAAGAAATTTCGAGAAGAACAATTCATTAAGGGTGTTTAGGACAAATCATTCCAACTTTTAACCACAGGCCTCCAATGCCCTAACTTTGAATGTGGTGCGTTTCTACTTCTCAAATAATTATTGTAGAGATGTGAATTTCAACTCTCAAAAATTTACATTTTTATGTGAATTTATAAATTCAGTGATAGTTCTATATGAATCTGAATCATTATTACTTTATTAGGTTAAAAAGTGTTAGAGCCTATATAATTTTATTATATGAATCTGAAACATAATTCTGTGACTTATCGTTTACTGGTTATATATATACAGGTTTACATACATACGATACGAGGAAGGAACTATCAACAGCTTTTAGTATCAACACTAAAGCCCATAGTTAATATTAGGTTGGATGGTTAAAAGCCCATAATTATTGGGCTTGAATAAGTTCAAATTCACCATCTATTTAAGTTCGAAGACTTTTAGGAGATTTGAGATTTCACATTCCCTCGCCGCCCGAACACCAAAATACGCCGGCTAGAATGAAGAACTGGATCCCGATTGATCTCATCATCGAGATACTCTCGAGATTACCAGAAAAATCAATAGCAAGGTGTCGTTGCGTGTCGAAGGAATGGAGTTCCATCCTTGACCGTGAAGATTTCACCGAATTGTTTCTAACAAGATGTAAAGATCATCCACGTCTCTTAATTAGTGTACAACAAGAAGGTGAGTGGAGCTTTCACTCAACGCCTCAGCCTCAGAACCATTACGAGAATTCGTCTCTTGTAGTAGCCGATTTTCATACCAAGTTTTCTTCAGGGATAAGCCAATACAATTGTAGCTATGCCTCTGGTTTGATCTATTTTCATAATATGCGCATCCCAAAGGAAAATGAAGATGCAAAGCGTGTGTTATGTGACCCTCTCACAGGACAATATGTTATCTTACCTGAACTTAGAGGTCACTCGTATTCGTATAACTATTTAGGGTTTGATCCAATAGACAAGGAATTCAAGGTTTTGTTCATGAATACTAGTGATTTTATAGCGTCTAAGGATGTAGATCATCATATTTTGACACTAGGAGCTGGAGAATTGAAATGGAGGAAGATCCGATGTCCTTTTACCCATGAGCCTGGGTGGAATAGGATTTGCATCAATGGGGTTTTGTATTACTTAGCTCTACATTCTGATGGAGGTCCTTATGTGATAGTTTGCTTTGATGTTAGTTCTGAGAAATTCAAGTTCATAGGCGCAAAAGACTTCCATGATCAGTTGATTAACTATAAGGGAAAATTATGTGGGGTTAATGTGGAGCATGATAATGGTGGTGGATTTCCCGTTAAGTTGTGTATGTGGGTTCTAGAAGATGTCCAGAAACCTGAATGGTCCAAATATGTCTACACTTTGAGGGCTGATAATAAAGTCGTTAATGTTAACTCTAATATTTCTGTTTCTGGGATGACTGCTACCGGTGACATTGTTTTGTCGTTGAATATGGCATCTAATCTGTATTATGTTTTCTACTTCAATCCGGAATGGAACACTCTCCAAGTCCAAAGTGTTGAAATCCAAGGTCTTGGAGCTAATCGTGATCGCATAGCTTACTACGCCTTTGTAGACTATGTAGAGGATCTTAGTGTTAACGATGCACTGCTGCCATTCAAGTCAAGCCCTTTACAACAAGGCAAAGATATAGTTACCAAGAGGCTAAAACCACGACAACTCCGCTATACATCTCGTGACCTTTCCAAGTCTGCTCCATCTGTGAAGAACGATGTAGAGGATCTTAGTGTTAACGATGAAGTGCTTCAACTCAAGTCAAGCCCTTTACAACAATGCCGAAATATCGTTACCAAGATACCAAGACAACTCTGCTATACATCTCGTGACCTCTCCAAGTCTGCTCTGTCTGTGAAGAACGATGTAGAGGATCTTAGTGTTAACGATGCAATGCTGTAACTTAAGTCAAGCCCTTTACAACAAGTACAATCTACGAGATGCCTTTGTAGAGACTATGTAGAGGATCTTAATTTTTGCAAAGCAATGCAACTCAATTCAAGCCCTTTACAACAAGGCCAAAATATCGTTACCAAGAGGCCAAAACCACGACAACGCCGGCATACATCTCGTGACCTCTCTAAGTCTGCTCCGTCTGTGAAGAACAAGCAACATAACAAGTACGAATTCTTAGCAAACATGCTCTATCATTCTGTTCGCTTAGCTATTTTATTTTTTGTTTTATTTTGTTTGTTTTTCGGTTTTTTTAGCTATATCATTCGGTTGGCTTAGATACTGTTTATGCTTCACATCCATTAACAAAGATACTGTCATCACATTTCCCCGTGACAGAGTTTATGAATTGTTGTTTCAAAGCAATAATAGCTTATTAGTGACAAGCTAGCTAGGACTTTCCTTGGAACATACTTGGGTCTAAATATCCATGGAACTGTTTGTTTCAACTCTCAAAAATTTACGTTTTATGTGAAATTATAGATTCAGTGATAGTTTTATACGAATCTGAATCAGAATTTGGTTAAAAAGTGTTACTATAAGCCTATATAGTTTTATTATATGAATATGAATCATATTATGTGACTTGTCGTTTACAGGTTACATACGTGTGAGCTCTATCACTCTGTTGTCTTAGCTATATGTTATTATTTTATTTATTTTCTGGTTATCATGCATGTCCTAAATTGTGAGAGCAAACTATACTACATTGAGTTATCTTGATACCAAAGAATTGAAAAATTCAAAATTTGCTTCTTCTGATTTCAGTTTCTCTAAACCTACTTGAAAAAACTAATAAGTCAGTTTAGTTGTCTTCAGGAGCTTCATTCTTGTATCTATATATATATTCATCACAATATAAGTGCGACCTACCTTGTAAAAATGGTGAGGAGAACGTCAGAACCTCTAACATCAAATTATTGGACTAAAATCCTCAATGATGAAGTTCTTGAGTGATGGAGTTCGTATTGATTTAATTGTTTTTGCAAAAGTGGCAACGATAAAAATTTAAAGACGAGAATTATTTTACATTTATATTTCGACAAATCAATAAGGCTTATCAAGGTTTGGTTCTATTTGTTTATTTGCTATAAACTAATTACATCGTTGTTCAAACGAAACGACAGCCCAATTATCAATTCTTAACATTTGTACCTAAATACCATGATCATTGATTTTAGGGCGGGTATTCCAATCTTTCTTGCATTTTATTTTCTTCTTTTGGTTTAAAGATAACAGTAATGAAAGAATATTATAAAAAGATAATGTGTAGTGAGAACAATTTTTTATTAGGAATCTAAATGTAAATGACAAAAAAAAAGTAGATTTATATGCTTAGTATCAGGGTAAATCTCGTTTATAAGAAAATTTTTGTCTTCTTGCCTAATAACAAAAACTAACCTAATGTTTATATTTATATACTTATAATTATGAAATATAAAGTGAAAGCCCGCACGTAGTGCGGGTACTCACCTAGTTAAACTAAAGATCCTAGGTGAAGCTTAGAGGTCGTTGGTTCGAGTGACGTTTGGGACAAAACTAATATTACATGATGTGGTTTCAGGCCTGTAAGCATTACATGCTTTGGCCTAGAACTTCCTGGTATTCAAAAAAAAAAAAAAAAAAACTAAACAACACACATATATCAAATCATGATACAAAAGAATTGGACACTTCTTCTTTATAATTTTGTTTTCTCTAAACCTTTTCAAGAATCACATTCATAGGTCTGTTTTAGCTTCTTCATGAATCATGAGCTTCTTTCTGGTGTCTGTTCATCAATAATCATGACACAAGTGTGAACAGTTTATGTGAAAGATTTCACTATCTAATAGAGAACAACATAATTTTTTTTTTTTTTTGACAAAAATTTTCGTTCAACACTAAAAGCCAAGTTAATATAAATTTGGATGGTTCAAATCCACGACCTCTTATGTCATCATCTAATTAGGTCTAAGAATGAAGAATTCGATCCCGATTAATTTCATTTACGAGATACTCTCGAGATTACCTGCAAAATCAGTTGCGAGGTGTCGTTGTGTGTCGAAGCAATGGAGATCCATCCTTCGCCGTCAAGATTTCACCGAATTGTTTCTAACAAGATCCAAAGCTCGTCCACGTCTCTTAATTAGTGTCCAACAAGACGGTGAGTGGAGCTTTCTCTCGCTGCCTCAGCCTCAGAATCATTACGAGAATTCGTCTCTTGTAGTAGCTGCCGCCGATTTTCATACCAAGTTTTCTTCAGGGATAAGCCGTTGTTGTAGCTATGCCTTTGGTTTGATCTATTTTCATAATATGCGCATCCCAAAGGAAGATGAAGATGAAAAGCGTGTGTTATGTGACCCTCTCACAGGACAATATGTTATCTTACCTGAACTTAGAGGTCACTCGTATTCGTATAGCTATTTAGGGTTTGATCCGGTTGATAAGGAATTCAAGGTGTTGTTCATGAATACTAGTGATTTTATGGCTTATAATTATACAGATCATCATATTTTGACACTAGGAGCTGGAGAATTGAAATGGAGGAAGATCCAATGTCCTTTTACTCATGAGCCTTTTTGGGAAAGGATATGCATTAATGGGGTTTTGTATTACTCAGCTCAACATTCTGATTCTGATGGAAAAAGATCTTATGTGGTAGTTTGCTTTAATGTAAGGTCTGAGAAATTCAAATTCATAGGCGCAAAATGATGTCATGATCAACTGGTAAACTATAAGGGGAAATTATGTGGGATTGATTTGAAGCATGCTTATGATGGTGGATTTCCCCTTGAGTTACGTATGTGGGTTCTAGAAGATGTCCATAAACCGGAATGGTCGAAATATGTCTACACTTTGAGGGATGATAATAAAGTCGTTAAGGTTAACTCTAATCTTTCTGTTTCTGGGATGACTGCTACCGGTGACATTGTTTTGTCGTTCAAGTATGCATCTAATCCGTATTATGTTTTCTACTTCAATCTGGAAAGGAACACTCTCCAAGTCCAAAGTGTTGAATCCAAGGTCTTGAAGCTAATCGTGATCGCATAGCTTACTACGCCTTTGTAGACTATGTAGAGGATCTTAGTGTTAACGATGCACTGCTGCCACTCAAGTCAAGCCCTTTACAACAAGGCAAAGATATAGTTAATTACCAAGAGGCTAAAACCACGACAACGCCGGCATACATCTCATCACCTCTCCAAGTCTGCTCCGTCTGTGAAGAACAAGCAACATAACAAGTACGAATTCTTACCAAACATGCTCTATCACTCTGTTCGCTTAGCTATTTTATTTTTTGCTTTATTTTGTTTGTTTTTCGGTTTTTTTAGCTATATCATTCGGTTGGCTTAGATACTGTTTATGCTTCACATCCATTAACAAAGATACTGTCATCACATTTCCCCTTGACAGAGTTTATGAATTGTTGTTTCAAAGCAATAATAGCTTTTAAGAGACAAGCTAGCTAGGACTTTCCTTGGAACATACTTGGGTCTAAATTGGTTGATTGGTACATGCTCCTTGAGAGGCTTAGTCAACGAATCAAGAGAACCAAAGGAAAACGTTATGAGACTATTTAGAGTAGAACCGAAGGAAATAAATTGAATATGACTGTCATTGACTGAGAATATCACAAAGTGACAAGAATGACAAAAATAGTGACGAGAATAATATGAGGATGTGAAGGAGTTGGAATCAATATCTATGGCTTCGACTTCAATGTCAGCTCGTAATTCAACTCCAAATATCCATAGAACTGTTTGTTTCAACTCTCAAAAATTTACGTTTTATGTGAATTTATAGATTCAGTGATAGTTTTATACGAATATGAATCGTAATTTGGTTAAAAAGTGTTAGTATAGTATAAGTCTATATAATTTTATTATATGAATTAGAATTATATTATGTGACTTGTCGTTTACAGGTTACATACGTGTGAGCTCTATCACTCTCTTGTCTTAGCCATTATTACTAGATGAATACTCACGTAGCGTGGGTTTTGTTTCGAAAATTGTTAAAAAAAATTATCTTGAATGTTCTCATTGCTAATTTATGTTTTTTTTTTGTTATCGTGTTGTTAATAAAATTAGATTCATCTTACGTAGTTATAATTTTTATGGTTACATTTATTTTTGATTTGAAATATCAATTTATATATTTTCATGTATAAGTCTGATTGTTTATATATCTAAGATCCTAATATTTTTTCATTATCATGACTGCATACAACAACAATATATAATATTTTGATACAGTGATATATAATTATGTTACTTGTGTGGTTTGAAACTTGTCTAACTTAATTATAAATAAAAAAAATTCAGTGCTCTATGCACTCTCCTGATCTAGTACTCCGGCCACATCATGATAGACTCATTATTAGATACTGGATTGACATAATTTGAACAAGATCTCAAGCGTTTTCATATGAAAAGAATAAAAAGAAAGCAAAAATTAAAAAGTTATTTAAATTAGCACTTTTTGATCTTCTACCATTGTATATAGCCATATAAAATGTTGACAAAAAAAAAATATAGCCATATAAAATAAATAGTTGTGTCTCGAATTATTGGGTATGTCTAACATCTTGAAGATTCATTACTTAAAAAAATTGCACGCCAATGTTACCAACTTACCATAAGACACAATAATGGAAAGTGAGATGATCATATGATAAATCGTATATGAACCATAACACGTAATAATGAGAAAAGACTCAAGGTAGAATTATTAATAAAATGTTAGGGAAAAATTGCTTCTTCTGATTTTAATTTCTCTAAACCTGCTTGAAAAAACTAATAAGTCAGTTTAATTAGTTGTCTTGAGGAGCTTCATTCTTGTATCTATATATTCATCAGAATATAAGTGCGTCCTACCTTGTAAAAGTACTGAACCAAGAATTTTGTTTAATTAAATTTAAATGTAACGACAAGAGAGTGAGATTTTACATACGAGGAAAGGAACTTGCTTTGATCATGACATATATTATATTGATTTGCGTAAGTCTTTTGTATATCCAATAACTTGATCGTAAAGAAACCATTGCCTCAGTTTGCTCAATGATTGAATAGTTGAACTGATGGTTAAACAATGAAGTCATATACATACCATTAGCCACTATAAGTGCCGATACCAGTGAACTTGAGGATTAAGTAACCATTTTCTGTTGAGATTTGATGAGCAATTGTTACCACTAGCCACTTTTTGAGTGCCAATAATGTAACATTCATCATGCTTTACTTAATTAAAGTAAACAAACACATATATCAAATCATGATGCAAAAGAATTGGACACTTTGCTTAACTTCTTTAATTTTGTTTTCTCTAAACCTTTTCAAGAATCACATTCATAGGTCTGTTTTAGCTTCTCATGACACAAGTGTGAACAGTTTATGTGAAAGATTTCACTATCTAATAGAGAACAACATAATTTTTTTTTTTTTTTTTGACAAAAATTTTCGATCAACACTAAAAGCCCATAAAGTTAATATAAATTTGGATGGTTCAAATCCACGACCTCTTATGTCATCATCTAATTAGGTCTAAGAATGAAGAATTGGATCCCGATTGATCTCATTATCGAGATACTCTCTAGATTGCCAGCAAAATCAGTAGCTAGGTGTCGTTGCGTGTCAAAGCAATGGAGATCCATCATTCGCCGTCAAGATTTCACCGAATTGTTTCTAACAAGATCCAAAGCTCGTCCACGTCTCTTAATTAGTGTCCAACAAGACGGTGAGTGGAGCTTTCTCTCGCTGCCTCAGCCTCAGAATCGTTACGAGAATTCGTCTCTTGTAGTAGCTGCTGCCGATTTTCATACCAAGTTTTCTGCAGGCATAAGCCTACACCATTGTAGCTATGTCTCTGGTTTGATCTATTTTCATAATATGCGCATCCCAAAGGAAGATGAAGATGAACAGCGTGTGTTGTATGACCCTCTCACTGGACAGTATGTGATCTTACCTCAACTTAGAGGTGAATCGGATAGCTATTTAGGGTTTGATCCGATTGATAAGGAATTCAAGGTATTGGTCATGAATACTAGTTATTATACAGCTTATAATGATGTAGATCATCATATTTTGACTGTGGGAACTGGGAAACTGAGGTGGAGGAAGATCCAATGTCCTTTTACTCATGAGCCTTTTTGGGAAAGGATATGCATTAATGGGATTTTGTATTACTTAGCTCTAGATTCTGATGGAAGGTATTTTATGGTAGTTTGCTTTGATGTTCGATCTGAGAAATTCAAGCTCGTTGATATAGAATGCCGTTTTGATCAACTCGTAAACTATAAGGGGAAATTATGTGGGATTGATTTGAAGAATGCTTATTATGGTGGATTTCCCCTTGAGTTACGTATGTGGGTTCTAGAAGATGTCCAGAAACGGGAATGGTCGAAATATGTCTACACTTTGAGGGATGATAATAAAGTCGTTAAGGTTAACTATAATCTTTCTGTTTCTGGGATGACTGCTACCGGTGACATTGTTTTGTTGTTGAATAATGCATCTAATCCGTATTATGTTTCCTACTTCAATCCGGAAAGGAACACTCTCCAAATCCAAAGTGTTGAAATCCAAGGTCTTCGAGCTAATTGTGATCGCATGGCTTATTACTACGCCTTTGTAGACTATGTAGAGGATCTTAGTGTTAACGATGCGATGCAACTCAAGTCAAGCCCTTTACAACAATGCCAAAATATCGTTACTGAGAAACCACGACAACGCTGCTATACGTCTCGTGACCTCTCCAATTCTGCTCCGTCTGTGATGAACGATGTAGAGGATCTTAGTGTTAATGATGCAGTGCTTCAACTCAAGTCAAACCCTTTACAACAATGCCAAAATATCGTTACCAAGAGGCCAAAACCACGACATCGCCGACATACATCACGTGACCTCTCCAAGTCTTCTCCGTTTGTGAAGAACAAGCAACAGAACAAGTACGAATTCTTAGCAAACATGCTCTATCACTCTGTTCGCTTAGCTATTTTATTTTTTGCTTTATTTTGTTTGTTTTTCGGTTTTTTTAGCTATATCATTCGGTTGGCTTAGATACTGTTTATGCTTCACATCCATTAACAAAGATACTGTCATCACATTTCCCCGTGACAGAGTTTATGAATTGTTGTTTCAAAGCAATAATAGCTTTTAAGAGACAAGCTAGCTACGACTTTCCTTGGTACATACTTGGGTCTAGATCGGTTGATTGGAACATGCTCCTTTAGAAGTTTACTCAGGGAATCAAGAGAACCCTGGATAAACGTTATTGGACTATTTAGAGTAGAACCAAAGCAAAGAAATTGAATGACCGAGAACATCACAAAGTGACAAGAATGACAAAAACAGTGACAAGAATGACAAAAATATTGACAAGAATGATTTGAGGATGTGAAGGAGTTGGCTTCAACTTCAATGTCAGCTTGTAATTCAACTCCCGAAATATCCATAGAATTGTTTGTTTCATCTTTTTTTTCCTAAAAAATAACACAAAGTTAAACTGATGAGCTCTCAACATAACAACAGCCTATATTCAACATGAGCTTCTTTCTGGTATCTGTTTATCACAACGTAAGTGTTAACAGTTCTTAAGAAAGATTAGAACAAGAGAGATAGAGAGATTTACAACTTACTCAATAACATACTCAATGAAGAAAATGTTTATGATAATCTCCAAGTTTCTTGGATCAAGTATTGCTGCTTCAGCAGGAGAGTAGACGTTTCCCTAGGACAAAACCTAGTATCATCACTGAATCTATCTTTCCAAATCTGACACAACGAACCAGTTTTTGTTCCAAGGCTCTTAAGGCTCCAAGTCCTCTGTAAAAGCTTTGGTTCCACCCTTTGAGTCTATCCTCGTATTTTAGAGTTAACAATGAACCAGTTTATATTCCATCGAAATCCGAAGCAACCAAACCCCCCCAAAATACTTATTTTTATCATCTCCTGAAACTTTATGAAACATTCCTCCGTTTAATATACAGTCATGTATCCTTCCTTGTAAAATTGAACCAATAATTTTGTTTATTTAACTTGATTTGATGATGACAAATGTTATCTTTTTTGGCGTAAGTCTTTGTATATCCAATAACTTGATTGCTAAGAAACCATTGCCTCAGCTTTGGTCAATGATTGAATACATATACGGATTTACCCACTAGCCGCTTCAGTACCAACAATGAAAGATTTATGTTTTACTTCAAACTAAACAAACACATCATATCTTGATGCCAAAGAATTGTACACACACACACACAGAGCTTAGCAAAAGAAAAAAAAGAATTCTACACTTTGCTTCTTTAAAAGAAACTAATTCAGGTTCTTCATTTGCCCATATGCTTTTTGATGGTTACATTATTTTTTCGATCAATACTGGAAAAAAGCCCAAATACTTAAAAAGCCCATATGCTATTTGGGCTTGAATAGATTCAATTTCAAACCCACTACCTCTAATGTCATCATCAAATTAGGTCGAAGAACTTTTAAGAGAGATTTCACATATCTCGCCGTCCGATCACCAACTACGGCGGATAAAATGAAGAATTCGATCCCGATTGATCTCATTTACGAGATACTCTCAAGATTACCTGCAAAATCAGTTGCGAGGTGTCGTTGTGTGTCGAAGCAATGGAGATCCATCCTTAGCCGTCAAGATTTCACCGAATTGTTTCTAACAAGATCCAAAGCTCGTCCACGTCTCTTAATTAGTGTCCAACAAGATGGTGAGTGGAGCTTTCTCTCGCTGCCTCAGCCTCAGAATCATTACGAGAATTCGTCTCTTGTAGTAGCTGCCGCCGATTTTCATACCAAGTTTTCTTCAGGGATAAGCCTATACAGTTGTAGCTATGCCTCTGGTTTGATCTATTTTCATAATATGCGCATCCCAAGGGAAGATGAAGATGAAAAGCGTGTGTTGTGTGACCCTCTCACTGGACAGTATGTGATCTTACCTGAACTTAGAGTAGGTCATTCGTGTAGCTATTTAGGGTTTGATCCGATTGATAAGGAATTCAAGGTTTTGTTCATGAATACTAGTGATTATATAGCGTCTAATGATGTAGATCATTATATTTTGACACTGGGAACTGGGAAATTGAAATGGAGGAAGATCCGATGTCCTTTTACCCATGAGCCTGTGTGGAATAGGATTTGCATCAATGGGGTTTTGTATTACTTAGCTATAAGTTCTAATGGATTACCTTATGTTTTAGTTTGCTTTGATGTTAGATCTGAGAAATTCAAGCTTCTTGACATAGAATACCGTTATGGATTTGATGGATTGATAAACTATAAGGGGAAATTATGTGGGATTAATTTGAAGTATGCTTATCATGGTGGATTTCCAGTTAAGTTGACTATGAGGGTTCTAGAGGATGTCGAGAAACCGGAATGGTCGAAACATGACTACTCTTTGTGGGTGGAGAGTAAAGTCGTTAAGGTTAACAATAATCTTTCCGTTTCTGGGATGACTGCTACCGGTGACATTGTTTTGTCGATGAAATATGTATCCAATCCGTGTTACATTTTCTACTTCAATCCGGAAAGAAACACCCTCCAAGTCCAAAGTGTTGAAATCCAAGGTCTTGGAGCTAATCGTGATTGCATATCTTACTACGCCTTTGTAGACTATGTAGAGGATCTTAGTGTTAACGATGCAATGCTGCAACTCAAGTCAAGCCCTTTACTGCAAGGCCGAAATATCGTTACCAAGAGGCCAAAACCAAAGCATCGCAGGCATACATCTCGTGACCTCTCCAAGTCTGCTCCGTCTGTGAAGAACAAGCATCAGAACAAGTACAAATTCTTAGCTAACATGCTCTATCACTCTGTTGGCTTAGCTATTTTGTTTTTTGTTTTATTTGTTTTGTTTTTTTAGCTCTATGACTCTGTTGGCTTAGCTATATTTGTCACATATGGAGATAAGATCAAAACGCCTAATCAATAGTCTGACTATCCATTTGTTATGATCAAAGTATATTTCCCTGTGGTTTACTCTTTGGCACAAATTTGTTTGATACAAAAAAATTTCTTGATTAATTGTGGGTACCTGATCATGGATAAATTGAAATGCTGATCCTTAAATAACTTAACATAAGACAAGATTCATGGAGTTTTGAGGTAGGACAAGCTTTTAATATACCTTGCAATGGGATCATATTTTTACACCATAAAAGGTGACACTGTCTGTAATTATCTCTATGTCCATAAGTCTTGAGGAAATGGTTCACATCCACCAACAAAGATCATATTTTCCAGTGACAGAGTTTAGAAATTGTTGTTTCAAAGCAATAATAGCTTTTTAAGAGACTAGCTAGGACTTTCCTTGGAACTTACTTGGGTCTAAATCAGTTGATTGGTACGCTCCTTGAGAAGCTTATTCAAGAGAACCCTGGGATAACGTTATGGGACTATTTGGAGCAGAACCGCAGGAAATAAATTGAATATGACAGAGAACATCACAAAGTGATCTCGAGCATGATTTGGATCCACAAGTATAGTCTCAGAGGCTGCAATATTTAACAGCAAACACGTGAGCTCTTTGGCACTGCGACAATCCTTTAAATTGAGTCACAGCTGTAAGATTAAGACAGGAAAAAGTATATGAAACCTGAATCAAAACGAACAAGTGGACAAGGCTTCCCAACAAAGTTTGTAAACCATATCAGGAGCTATAGCCACTGAAAACGCAGCCAAAGGTTAATGGCACAGTGACAAGAATGATCTGAGGATGTGAAGGAGTTGGAATCTATATATATGGCTTCAACGTCAATGTCAGCTTGTATTTCAACTCCTGAAATATCCATAGAAATTTTTGTTTCAACTCTCAGAAATTTACATTCTTATGTGAATTTATAGATTCAGTGATAGTTTTATATGAATCTGAACCATTATTATTAGATCAAAAAGTGTTACTATAAACCTATTGATCTTTATTTAGCATCTGAAACAGAGTCTACGACTAAAACAGAGCAATCTCTCTGATGACAAGAAAATAACAAAACAAAAAGTGGTGTTCCCTAACACTCTGTTTGGCTTATCATACAATTTTGCTCTTTTTTTTTTTATTGGTTTTGACTTCCAGGCCCTTATGAGTATTGGTTTTAGATTAGTATGTAACTTAAGATGTTGTTAAATCGAGACTAAGAGTATTAGGCCCTTATGAGTATTGGTTTTAGATTAGTATGTAACTTAAGATGTTGTTAAATCGAGACTAAGAGTATTAATTTCAGATAAGTATGTATCTAAATTTTGTATTTAGTTCTGTATATGGTGATGATTAATGATTGAACTACAGAGATTTAGTGAAAATCTAACTTTGATTTTTGGATTGGTATAGGGTGAAGCAATAACTTTGTCTTGAAGAGGAAGTATCATTTCATAATACCGATTGATACAGCTTGGAATATGCCATTAGACGATGATATTTTTGATCTACAAACTCATCTTTTACATAAAAGATTGATTCATAGTAATGGGTTTGGTCATTTTGATCTGCATTAATGGTATGGAAGGAGCATCTAAATACTTGTGTGGAAGAGAATTCGTCGACCTTTGGGATAGGATTTGTAACCACCTCGGAGCACGGTAATGAAACAACATTTTTTTTTTTTTTTTCTTTTTGGTCAAAATGAAACAACATTTATCTATCGTTTTTCGGTTTGTTGGATTTAGCTTTTCATGATTTGGAGATTGAATGACAGTTTAATGTGTTACTTAGGAGCAATCTAATGTGTTTCTACTTTCTAGTTTTAATTTACATGCACTAACGTATTGTATCAGTGAGTTTGTAGTTCAGTTTTTTTTTGAGATCTGATGAACCACATATACGGATATACCACTAGCCGCTTCAGTACAAACAATGAAAGATTTATGTTTCACTTAAAGTAAACAAACACATCAACTCTTGATGACAAAGAATTGTACACACACACAGAGCTTAGCAAGCAAAAAAAAAAAAAGAATTCTAAACTTTGCTTCTTTAAAAGAAACTAATTCATAGGTCTGTTTCAGCTTCTTCATTTGCCCATATGCTTTTTGGTGGTTACATTATTTTTTCGATCAACACTGGACAAAAAAGTCCAAATACTTAAAAAGCCCATATGCTATTTGGGCTTGAATAGATTCAATTTCAAATCCACCACCTCTAATGTCATCATCAAATTAGGTCGAAGAACTTTTAAGAGAGATTTCATATATCTCGCCGTCCGATCACCAACTACGGCGGATAAAATGAAGAATTCGATCCCGATTGATCTCATTTACGAGATACTCTCGAGATTACCTGCAAAATCAGTTGCGAGGTGTCGTTGTGTGTCGAAGCAATGGAGATCCATCCTTCGCCGTCAAGATTTCACCGAATTGTTTCTAACAAGATCCAAAGCTCGTCCACGTCTCTTAATTAGTGTCCAACAAGAAGACGGAGAGTGGAGCTTTCTCTCGTTGCCTCAGAATCCAAATGAGAAGTCGTCTCCTGTAGTAGCCGCCGATTTTCTTTTGAAGAAGTTCTCTGCAGGGATAAGCATATACGATTGTAGCTATGCCTTTGGTTTGATCTATTTTCATAATATGCGCATCCCAAAGGAAGATGAAGATGAAAAGCGTGTGTTATGTGACCCTCTCACAGGACAATATGTTATCTTACCTGAACTTAGAGGTCACTCGTATTCGTATAGCTATTTAGGGTTTGATCCGGTTGATAAGGAATTCAAGGTGTTGTTCATGAATACTAGTGATTTTATGGCTTATAATTATACAGATCATCATATTTTGACACTAGGAGCTGGAGAATTGAAATGGAGGAAGATCCAATGTCCTTTTACTCATGAGCCCTTTTGGGAAAGGATATGCATTAATGGAGTTTTGTATTACTCAGCTCAACATTCTGATTCTAGTCGAAAAAGGTCTTATGTGATAGTTTGCTTTGATGTTAGGTCTGAGAAATTCAAGTTCATACGCGCAGAACGCTGTCATGGTCAGTTGATAAACTATAAGGGGAAGTTATGTGGGGTTAATGTGGAGTATAATTATGGTGGTGGTTTTCCCCTTAAGTTGAGTATGTGGGTTCTAGAGGATGTCGAGAAACCGGAATGGTCTAAATATGTATACTCTTTGTGGGCTGATATTAAAGTTGCCCGCTATCTTTCCGTTTCTGGGATGACTGCTACCGGTGACATTGTTTTGTCGATGGAAAACACGTCTAACCCATTTTATGTCTTCTACTTCAATCCCGGAAGGAAAACTCTTCAATGTGTTGAAATCCAAGGTTTTGGTGGTAATCGTGTTTGCACCTTTGTAGACTATGTAGAGGATCTTAGTATTAACGTTGAAATGCAAAACAAGTCAAGCCCTTTACAACAATGCCGAAATATCGTTAAAGAGAAGCAGAAACCACAACAACGCGGGCATACATCTCGTGACCTCTGCAATTCTGCGCCGTCTGTGAAGAACAAGCAGCATAACAAGTACGAATCATTATTAGCTAACACCCTTGACCACTCTGCTGGCTTAGCTATTTTGTTTTTTGTTTTATTTGGTTTCTTTTTCGTTTTTTTTTAGTTATATATCATTCGGTTGTAGCTATTTTAGTCACATATGGACATTAGTGAAAACGCCTGATTATATGTAAATCTTTGTCTGATCTGAACTTTTGTCAGAGTCTCAATCCCAGTTTCTTTCTTGTTTCAATCCCAGTTCGTTGGTACCTGATCATGGCCAAATTAAAATGCTAATCCTTAAAAAAACAAAAACAAAAACAAGTTTCATGTAGTTTTGAAATAGGGCAAGCGAATGGGTAAAACGACAATGATTAGTATTGTAATCAAATAATTTTTAGCTAGTTCATTAGGTTCTGAATGGTGAAGTTCCTTTTCCGGATGCTAATTAAAAAGAGGAAGTATCAGGTGAGCAGCTGAAGAAAATTGAACTCTTCCTGTGTGTTGTAGAAGGTTTTTGCAGTAAAGAGTGTTTTTGAGAAACATAATCCAATATTGACACACATGAAAAGCCAATTCATTGATTGCTTACAGAAACCATAAGGGTGTGTATAAGACCATTATTAGTGGTTGAGTGTGATACTCAGTTTCTTGTAATGGTCTTAATCTTTTTCCTATTCAGAACAGTTATCTAATGAAAATTGGAAGTTAGAATCATGAAGATGGAATATGGTTAGTACCTGTTGTAAGGTTGATTTTCTTCAATTCTGGTGGACAGAGTAAGACTCGCAATCCCGACTAGTATTAGAGTCCTTTCGCTTTTGAATGATCCTTTACTCAGGAATCGATCCAACAGACCAACTCCTAGAAACAATGTCTCTTGCTGAATCTCCATGTCAGAACATTGCTGCTTGTAATCAGGGAGAAGACAAATCAGCAACAAATTAAGAATATCATAGCTTACTGATACATAAACCTTAAAAGATTCCAAAGTAAGCTACAGATTTCCTTAGGCTAAAACATTCTTAAAACCAGAAACAAGATCTCCAAACATATTCTCTTCAGAATATTCTGCTACTGATACATATTTCCGAGCTTCAACATTCAGAGATCAATGGATACATAACCAAATGCATTTGAACAGAAAGATAATATTCACCTTCACAATCCACTGAACCATGATAGAGCGTAAACGAGGGATGAGATCAGTACGGTCCATCATGGAGCAGTAAGCCTTAGCACAGCCCCGCATATATGCATGACTTCTCTCTCTTTCCCTCAGCCTTAGATAGCTCTCTTCCACCTCCTCATCATCAAACCTTAGCAACTAAAGCGAAAATTTATACTTAAGATTCATCCCAGAATAAAATTTCAGAGTCAAATCTTAAATTTTTTTTTTTTTTTTTGTGTTTGATGAATAAACAATTGATATTCTTTACTGTTGTAGGTTTCCTTTCATTGCCTGTGAAATCTTCACATGTGAGATTGAAATGATACTGAAAACACTAGTCGAGGATGAGGAGGTAGGCATTAACTCTGTTACTTTCTTCTATATTTATATTTTGTAAATGGTTAAGGATTTAGTGTTTCTTACCTCTTGTGATCTCTTCTTTCTGCAGTTGATGCTATTGCTGTTTTCGTTCTTAGAAGATAAAGAAACCCATAACTCATTGCTTGCCGGGTACTTCAGCAAGGTATTTAGCACTCAACAATTTTTTATTGTCAGAAAACTCATTGAGAACTTTCGCTTGCTTTTATAGGGCTCTATAGAGTATCTTCAACGTATACTCTCTTACATCTTCTATTACAGGTTGTCATTTGTCTGCTGGTGCGGAAGACGATCCCTTTCATGCAATTTATAAAAGTAAGTTGGTTCTGTTTCCTAGATTAGGATTTTCGGTTAAGAATGACTTGAACTTAGCTAGAATTAGTTTTTTTTTTCTTATCTTTGTAGAGATTATTGAACCATTAGCTAGCTGCTTTCTTTTACACTTTGGATCTTCTGTGTAACGTGAGATAATGCTGTTAAATAGTCAGAGATATTGATGAAGATCTGTTTTGCTATTTGATTATTGAAATAGCTTTTTACTAATCAACAATATTCCCTGTTGATAAAATTTTGATAATTGGTACACAATTGTTTTAAATACCATTGAACCATCTGAAAATTCATTTTAAAGTTTCACATTATGATTGACCTTGGCTTTCTTGTGCTACCAGGATCATCAAGAAATACTGAAGCAGCTTGTTGATTTAATTGGTATTACATCTATAATGGAGGTGGGTTTACTTTTTTATATGTGTTATTGGAACTCCTGATCTAGGCTCTTATGTTTTACTTAAACTAAAACAAACACATCAAAATCTTGATGCGAAAAGAACTGTACACTTTGCTTCTTTAATTTTGTTTTCTCTAAGAAGAAACTAATTCATAGGTCTGTTTCAGCTTCTTTCTTTTTTTTTGGTAGGCAACGGGGAGACATTGTCTCCCCGCAATTATTACAAAACTAAAAATAAACTAATCCCGAATGAGTCTTGGAAACGCAGTTCCTCGAGCATCATCCCGGACCAGCTTGTTTCAGCTTCTTTCTAGTAATAATAATAGCAAGTCCATCACGTAATATTATTTACTTTACAAAAAAAAAAAAAATCAACACTGGAAAAATATATAAAGGTAATTAAATTTGGATGGTTAAGAAAAAGCCCATATGCTTTTTGGGGTTGAATAAGTTCAATTTCAAATCCACTACCTCTAACATCATCTCATTAGGTCGAATAACTTTTAAAAGAGATTTCACATTTCTTTGCCGTCCGATCATCAAAACACGCCGGATAAAGTGATGAATTCGATTCCGAATTATCTCATTTACGAGATACTCTCAAGACTGTCAGCAAAATCAGTTGCGAGGTGTCCTTGCGTGTCGAAGGAATGGAGATCCATCCTTGCCCGTCAAGATTTCACCGAACTGTTTCTAACAAGATCCAAAGCTCGTCCACGTCTCTTAATTGGTGTACGACAACAAGACGGTGATCAGTGTTCCTTTTACACAACCCCTCAGCCTCAGGATCCATATGAGAAGCCGTCTCTTGTAGTAACCGCGGATTTTCATATCAAGTTGTCTAAAGGCATAAGCCAATACAATTGTAGCTATGCCTCTGGTTTGATCTATTATAGCATCCGAAGCAAGGATGAGGATGAAAAGCGTGTGATTTGTAACCCCCTCACAGGACAGTATGTGATCTTACCTGAACTTAGAGTAGGTCATTCGTATAGCTATACAATGTTTAGCTATTTAATGTTTGATCCGATAGACAAGGAATTCAAGGTATTGTTCATGAACCTTAATCGTTATACAGCTTATAATTATGTAGATCATTATATTTTGACACTGGGAAGTGGGAAATTGAGGTGGAGGAAGATCCAATGTCCTTTTACCCATGAGCTTTTTGAGGGAAGGATATGCATTAATGGAGTTTTGTATTACTCAGCTGAACATTCTGATTCTGATGGAAGAAGGTCTTGTGTGTTAGTTTGCTTTGATGTTAGGTCCGAGAAATTCAAGTTCATAGGCGCAAGAAACTGTCATTATCAGCTGATAAACTATAAGGGAAAATTATGTGAGATTAATGTGGAGTATGCTTATGATGGTAGATTTCCCCCCAAGTTGAGTATGTGGGTTCTAGAGGATGTCGAGAAACCGGAATGGTCGAAATATGTGTACTCTTTGGATGTTGAGAGTAAAGTTGCCAGCTATCTTTACGTTTCTGGGATGACTGCTACCGGTGACATTGTTTTGTTGATGGATAACACATCTAACCCTTTTTATGTCTTCTACTTCAATCCGGAAAGGAAAACTCTTCAAATTGTTGAAATCCTAGGCATTGGAAGTAATCGTGTTTGCACCTTTGTAGACTATGTAGAGGATCTTAGTGTTAACGTTGCACTGCAAAACAAGTCAAGCCCTTTACAAGAACGCCGAAATATCGTTACGGAGAAGCTTAAAACACAACAACGCCGGCATACATCTCATGACCTCTGCAAGTTTGCCCCGTCTGTGAAGAACAAGCAGCATAACAAGTATGAATCATTAGCTAACATGCTCTATCGCTCTGCTGGCTTAGCTATTTTATTTTTTGTTTTATTTGGTTTCTTTTTCGTTTTTTTTAGTTATATCATTAGGTTGTAGCTATTTTAGTCACATATGGACATTCGTGAAAACGCCTAATTATACGTAAATCTTTGTCTGATCTGAAATTTTGTCAGAGTCTCAATCCCAGTTTGCTTTCTTGATTAATTTTTGTTTTTTTTGGTGAGATGCTTTCTTGATTAATTGTTCCTTGGTGCCTGATCATGGCCAAATTAAAATGTTATCCTTATTAAAAAAAAAAAAAAAAAAAATTCATGCAGTTTTGAAATAGGGCAAGTTTTTGATATATACCTGGCAATGGGAGCATAATTTTAAACCATAGAAAGTAATATTGACATATCGTATATAAGGATCTTTCTGTCCATAACTCTTAGGTTAACTGGTTAACATCCATGGACAAATACGCTGCCATCACATTTCTAGGTGACAATTATCAAGTGTTGTTACAAAGCAATAATAGCTTTTAAGAGACTAGCGCTAGGACTTTCGTTGGAACATACTTGGGTGTTGTGTTTAAATCGGTTGATCGGTACAGGCTCCTTAAGTTTATTCATGGAATCAAGAGGGAACCTGGATAAAATGTTATGGGACTATTCAGAGCATAATCTGAAGAAAGGAATCGAAGAACATTTTCTGTCTCCTTTCTTTCTCTTCTCCAATCTTCAACGCGAGTAATACAACAGATTAATAAAGTGATAGTATAAATGATTAGTATTTCTTGAATGGGGAAAATTTTCAACCCAGAGACTCTCTCTCTTGAATTGTTTCTGTTCTAAGCTCTTGTACTGGGAATTTTCAACCCAGATGTAGGTGTCCGTTAAAACTTAAAAGGCATATGTATTCCATCTATTGTAAACCGTTCATATATATATATATATATTATAAAAAGTTAATTTCACGTTTGGCATAAAAAAAAGATTTGATCTCACATTTTGGCAAAGTGAGATTCATTTCTCATGTTTTGGCAATTATTCCATTTTATGACGAAAATGCCCTTGACGAAAAATGGAACGTGAACGGTTACGTTACGGTTTAGTTTCTAGCGGTTTAGTTACTTTTTGTTTTGAAAAAAAAAAAAAAAAAATTCAAGAAAACGAAGAATTCATCATCTTCGTTCGACATCTCCGAGAGATTCGAGAGAGAAGTAGAAATCAGTTCGAAATTCATTCATCCATATTCGTTTTCGACATCTCTACTTGATTTGAGGCATTGCATTGAACTCGAAAAACCGGCGAAGAGAAAGTTCCAGTTTTCCGGCGAAGGCGACCTGAGAATTCCGGCGAGATACCAACCTTCGAGATGGCTGGGAATAAACCAAACGACCTAGTCTATTCTAGGAAGAAGCATACGCAGGAAGGCCCCGAGAAGGACAAGGTGGAACTCAGAGTATCCCCGAGGAGGAAACTCCCTCCGAGAAATCCGCCGGAGGAATTGGGTAAGTTCCGATATTATTCCGTTTGTAGTTTCTTTGGGTGTATCGGAATCTTAAAGCTTGTTTGATTAAAGGGATAGAAGTTGCCGGATTTTGCTATATCTGTAGTTTGAAAATTTGAGAAGTTGAATTGGAAATCTCTGTTTCCGCCAAAATTCAGATGTTGAGTATATAATGTTGATAATTACTGTGTACGTACACAAATTCATACATCCGTACTTAATTGTATATCACTTGTAATTGCAGGCAGTACAAGCGTGGCTCCGACTGAAGATCTTATAGTTGAAGAGTTACCACCTAGACTCTTTGCCCTAGACCGGTACCCTGCGAAGACGAAGATGAACGCGTACTCCAAACCGGAGTACCTTTCTGATATAGCACAAGTTCTTAAGGGAAAAGAGGAGATGCAGTTTCTTCTCGAGTCTCCATTTGGGGACCTTTTTAGGATACCTGCTAACAAGTCTTCCTTCTCAGGTAAACTTGTTCTTGGACTAATATGTCGTCAGTTAGTGACGAGTAAAGTGAATGAGATGTGGATGGTCTTCGGCGGTCATCCAATAAAATTCGGATTAAGAGAATTTAGTCTGGTAACTGGTCTAGAATGTGGGACATATCCCAACAAGAAAGACGTGACGGATGTGCTAAAGGTTAAAGCTGGTAGTCAAAGTGTCTGGAAAACTCTGTTTGAGGAGAAGTTTGGGGAGAAGCCGAATCCAACAGTGCATGATTTGGTGGTCTGGCTGAAGGAGGAGGAAACCATGGATGGGTGGAAGCAGCTGGCCTTATCTCTTATAATCTTGGTAGATGGTGTGATAGGGTGCCATAATAACCCCATAAGGCCTTCTGAGTTCACTGTTGAGATGACGAAGGACGTGCAATTCTTCTGCAAATACCCTTGGGGAAGGGTGTCTTTTACCCGTACTTTGGAGAGGATAGCAAAATTCCAAACCCCTTCAGATGCTCAAAAACTGATAAGGTGTGTAAAGGATGGGTCTTATGCACTACATGGATTCCCATTAGCACTCCAGCTGTTTGCGTTCGAAACAATCCCATCCCTTGCTAAGCTAGTACCTGATGATGAAGCTAACAGGACATTTACTCAGAGGTCTATCCATCATCTTGCCTCACTGCGGGCAATCAGGACATCCAGCATCTTGGAGTGTGAGGCTGCTGAAGAGGTATGTACAATTGTTTATGTACGTACATTATTTAAAAAGTAAGTGTACATTCTCTAAGTGGTCAACAAACTTATTGGTGTAGGTTGAGGTAACCTATCTTGTGAAACCAGAGGACAATATTTGTCCTCCATCCCTGTCATGGGATGATGAAGTTGAGGATCCAAGAGTTGCTTACATTGAGCGACTGTTGTTAGCGGGTCATGAGTGGAAGGAGGAAGAATGGGTTGGAGGTAATGCTGCATTTCCAAAGCAGGAGCGCCCACCACAACTTGGAGAGATACGTGAGTGTAAATGTTGTTTTTATACTTTCTGATTATTGTCCCTTGAAGACCAATCAATGATTAAACTGGTCTATCGTAGGTGTGAAGAAGAGGAAAAGAAATGTACCAGCCCCGAATGCACCTTCTTTGAAAAAACAGAAATCTGTTGTGGAAGAAGAAAATGAGGACACTGCTGAGGATTGTTCTGAAGATCCCCAGTTTGAGAAGTTTGTAGTTGAACTTAGGAGGTGTTTCAAGAGGCAGGAAGCACAAAATAAACAAATGCAAGAAGACTTGAAGAAATTTGTCCGTAAGGAGATTCGTGCTGTCTTAGATCCAAAGGTCAAAAAGACAGAACCAACCAAAACTTCCCATGCTTCACAGGGCCCAAATAAATCGGTGGGTAAGGCACCGATGAGTGTGAAGAAGGCATCTAAAAAGATGTCTACAAAGAAAGTATTCAAGTCTGGAACAAGAAAGTCTTCAAGGCTGAAGAATATAATGACGTCAGTTGCTGAGATTACTCAGCTTCCTGATGGTAACTCTTCCTCTGAGGAAGATGACCAGGTATGGCATGTACGTACATTTATATATAGTATTTTAAATGTACGTACATGAAGATTAATAACTGTAACTTGTCTGCTATGGTACAGGATGAAGCCAACAATGAAGGTGGTTTTTCTGTAAATGATGGAGGAGATTTTTCGAACAGAGATGAAGGTATGGTTGACACTGGAGTAGCTAACATTTCAGTTGGTGGACCTACACCTTCCCATCAGGTATGTCGTGTACAAATATTTTTTTCAATTATTTCCAGTTGTGTACGTACACATAGGCTTCAGAAGTGTATGGTATACTATGTTTCAGGATGAAGGAGCACGTGATGGTGGTGAGTCTGTCCTTGTTGGTACATAGTCAGGGACCGAGGAAAAAGCTAGTGGTGACACAGAGATGGAAGAAATTCCATCTCCTGTACCTTCAACCTCTGTACAGGTATGTCTTGTGCTAATAGTCACATACTGTTTTCCATAAGTGTACCATTATCAATTATTTTCAGTTCTCCACGTACATATAGCTTAAGAAGTGTATGGTATACTATGTTTTAGGATAAAGGACCAATTGATGGTGGTGAGCCTGTCGTAGTTGGTACACAGCGAGGGACAGATGAAAAACCAACTGCTGACACAGAGATGGTAGAAAATCCATCAGGTTTACCTGCAACATCTGGACAGGTATATGGTCTGCTAATAGTCAAATGTAGTTTTCCATATGTGTACTCACTGAATGACGTGTATGGTATATTTGTTTCAGGGAGAAGAACATGGTGCCGGTCTTGAGAGTGAAGCAAATGTTGGGGAGCAACCAGAAATTTCTGAGGGTAATGATAGAGATACATCTTCTCAGGCTGAACACACCGAGGAACCCGGTGTAAGTGTACGTACATTTGTCTTTCTTATTTCCCGTGTACGTATAAGTAATGATTGTTTCAGACATCACAAAATAGAGTATATAGCCGATGAAGTTGATAACTACTGCCACAGGTTGATGCGGGAGATGTACCCAATGTAGTTGCAGAGAGTAAAGTGGATGACTCAGTACTTGAGGGCACCCTAGGGGATCCCCCTTCACCATGTGCAGTAGTTAGGAAGGTAAGCTAACTATATTTTTAAATAAAATAGTGTAGTGTAGGCTTGTTTAAATTTATAATATTCTATTATGCAGGTGTTACAGGAGTTGGCAACGAAAGCCTCCATGGATGTGGATGCAGCTAATGTAAAGGAGGTAAAAATCTCGTGTTTGGTTTAAAATTATACACAGTTATTAACATACGTACATAGGATTGTATGCGTACATTTAAATAATTCTGCACGTTAATTTGAAAAGGGAGTGTTGGAGCAGCAGGGGATTATCGACGGGGTGGAAGAACAAGAGGATTCAAACCCAGGGTTAGATGAAGCAGACACGACAGTTGGTACACTAGAAAATATTGTGAGTATCTTCTCAGTAAATATTATCATTACATTTTGAAATTGTTTAATCATGCTGTTTACAATAATACTTCTTTACAGGATGAACCAAACAACGATGCTGCAGTCGAAGCTGTTAAAATTCCTACGCCGGTTGTACCCAAAAAAATGAAGAAGCAAATAATTGTTGAGATGGATGACGCCCTTCCGGAAGGTTTTAAGGAAACAACAGTCCTCGTGCAGGATGTTCCTGGACGAGCTGAAGATTCAGAGGTTGTTATAGCGGCTGGAAATGTCCCTTACAACCCCTTGGAGAAGGTTGATGCTTCCAAATTAGAGATCTTAACCAATGTCCTCCGCGGTTTTAATGTGTAAGTATCGTGCATTATCAAAATTATCCCTTAATTGATACATTGGTTTTCTATAACAACCAGGCATACTATAATATTGGATATACAGGAAGCACACTCTTTTCGGGTATCGCAAAGTGGACAACGAGTTTTTCTCCATGCTTATAGCACAAGGACAGTGGGTGGATAATATGGTAAGTTGAAATAGTACATTTATGTACATTTTTTAAATATGCCTGAATTGTACGTACACTGACTGCCTATGCTATTATCATTTCAGATCTTGGAAATGCTCGCAATCTTGATGTGGCACAAGAACGGTCAACAAATGATAGCAAACCGATGCGTTGTTTTGGACTCCTACCTGCTTTATGAGCTTACTAAGCGTGCTGTCAGCTTCAGGAATTGTAGAAATAAGCATGGGTTCAAATGGGGCGACCGGCTATACGACATGGCCAATGGAATACACATACACCGTGAACCTAGTCTTAGGTGGTTCAAGGATGTCGACGTGGTATATGCTCCGATGAACTGGAAAGGTGATCATTGGGTTGGGTTGGCAATCCACCTCAGAGCCCGGAATATAGTTGTCTATGACGCTCTCATAGAACACACGCGGGAGTCTGTTGCATGGTCAAAGATGCAGCCTGTCTGCGAGATGATGCCGTACCTAGTGAGAGCGATGTGCGCGGATGTATTGCCTGCGAAGTACTCAGTTGAACCTTTTGCCTATGAGAGAAATGTTATGGTCGCTCAAAACCCAAGTACAGGAGATTGCGGGCCTTACGCAATGAAGTACTTGGAGTTGCTGGCGTTTGGTAACCCAATGTCAGACTTGGTGAATATTCAAGAAGCAGATATGGCCACCTACCGTCAGGTGTACGCAACAGAAATCTACGAGCACGGCAAGCGCGAGTGTGGTAACCGGCGTTTATTGTAATCATCCCTGGATGTTGAATTATTTTTATTTCCTAGTACTTATTTCCTTATTTCAACAACCTAATTAGAACAACGTAATTAATTATGGAGATCCTCAAAATATTTATGTAATCGTTATAACTATCTTCTCTAAACAATCTGCACATCGTACACTTATTGAAAAACCAACATGTGTACGTACATCTTATATAACGTACGTCTTTTACACAAAGTCGATTTTTCTCATAATAAGATATCTATTTCTTTACTTACATTGATTTGACAACCCTCCCCCACTGCATCTTACTTACATTGATTTGACAACCCTCCATCACTTACGTAAGATTGCATTAACTACAACCATAACTTAACCAACTAACTTCATTGTTCTTTATTTAAGAGTAGGAATTGCATTGTTTTGAAACACCAAATTCCTAGAAATGTCTACACCAAATCTACCTGAAGATTTGCTAGCCAAGATAGCCAAAAAAATGGCTGACAAATGTTGGTGGTACCTCGGACCTCTGTTAAGATCAGGGCGTGGTGGAAGAAACATTGTCTACAGGCCGGATGTCTTGAAAGATGCTAATATTTATAGCATGTGCAGTGATCCCGATGACTTCCATGCGGCAGGCCATGATCCGAATGACATCAACGCTGAAGGTCGATATAGACCCTTTTTCAAAAGGTGTCTAGAGGCTGGTAACCCGATTGCTATTTACCATGAAGGACTGCGTCTAGTTACCCATGAGTCTGACATTAAGGGCGCCATTGTACTTTTACAGCGGAATGTACCAAGGCACGCCGATGCAACCCTGGCCTGCGCTATTCTGTGCATATGCGACGGGAATGCTCACATGGGTGGTGTGTACCTACGCCTGTTCGCAAACAACCATTACCCTTTGGAATCAGAAGAAACACGTGACATGTGTGAGGAACTCCTAGAAGAAATAAAAAATTATGGAATTAGGTTAAACAACACATACGGCGCAACATTTTCGTACCCTGAGGAACGTGGTATTCAAACGCCTCCTTGCGCGATGCTGTGTTACATCAGATCTGGACCCTTCAAGAATGTGTGCAACGTATGTTACCTCTGGTGGTGTGCGAGAAGAATTAGTCAAATTCTCTAGGGATTTCTTACGTAATATTATCTGAATTTCTAAGTTTTTATGTTATAATATGTGGCCTTTGCAATTGTACTTTGCTTATCAGTAATGAATATCTTTTTATCTACATCCTTGCTTGTTTCTCATATACTACTAAATCTTATGAATGGTTACAAATAATTGTAATATTTTATATTAAATTGAGAAACAAGTTTCTTAATGTTAGATAATGGTGCCTTGTCTACAGAGGCTTATGAATTATCAGTAAATACATACTGACCTGATTTAGTCATTGATAATGACCTCTATCTTTCAAAAAAAAAAAAAAGAAACGCAAATTTATGTACATATATACGTACACATCCCTGTAATTAATGTACACTGTCTTTTGTCAGATAAAACGAAATTGCAAAAGAAAGAGATTTGGTTTTTAATGCGTTTCCCCCAGATTTAGCCATATACATGAACTCAATCTTTTCCCCTAATTCGGCGACAGACATCAACTCAAACTTTTAGTCAGAGAACGTAATAAGGGTAGACATACGTACACGGGTATACGTTACTGTGTACACGTATTTTAGTTGGTTTAAAACTATAAATATGAGAAGCGACTTTCGAGATGGTAGTAAATGATGATGCAATTCTGATTGATTTGACCTGTAATAACCCATATCTACAAGTTTTGGAGTGGTTATTTAATGCATACGGCCAAGCTCTATTCATAGAATGACCTCTATCTTTTCGCATAAATCTCCTTACTTTACGTACACGGTTTGCAATTAATGTACACTTGCATTTGTCAGATAAGAGGAACTTTAAAAATAATGACACTTTATTAATGCGTTCCCCCCAAATGTAGCCATATACATGAACTCAATATTTAGTCCCTATATAAACGATATCACACACACTAATTTATTTGCTCACATTATTCTAAAACCTCCTTCATTCATCAACTGGAAGATTATTTCTAAACCTCCTTTGTTAACAACATGGCTTTCCCCGCAACCCCTCCAACCGAGATGTACCTTGCAATACAATTGCCGAACCCGATTTCCGTCCTCATCAACTACCTGCCCGTATCCCAGACTCCCATCGAGACCCTCCGCCACTGTCGAAGCAAGTGACGTAAACGCAATAGTGATGGACGACTTCATCACATGGCCTCACTTCTTGCAGCCGGAGTCTCCCTTTAGGGCCTACTTCAGCCTCTTGCTGGAAAGGGGTGCGATCCCGGCTATATACCTCGAAGGTGTCCGCCAGGCAAGCAGCTTCCTAACGGTGGCCCACGGCATTACACTACTCAACTCCGTCGCTCCATCCAACCCTCTCGCCTGCTTCGTGACCGGCTTATTCCTAACTTGTACTGGCAACCATGTCGACTTTCTTCCAGTCAGCGATATGTTCTGGGCGATGACACCCACATTAGCGGCAGCTCACGCAGTGGGGGAGATGGTGATGTATCACATAAGCCACCTTCACACCGAAGGTCCTCGGCTCTGGCAACGTTCATGGAGGTATGTGCACACACCGGCATGTGTTGGCCTTTGCACGTACACTTCCGGCTGCAGAGGGTGTTTCTTTTACTGGTACGCGAGGGAGATGTGTGTCTTCTATTAGATATGACTTTGATAATGACGGATGAGGCATACAATTTTCCGGCTCATGTGTATGCTTCGGGCTCTACTTTTTAGTTTATTGCTTCCGCATCTAATATATAGTTTGTCTTTCTTGAATGTATGTCCTTCTTCGGGCACTTAATTATGAATGAATGAAGTTTTTGTTGTTTGAGGACAACAAATATGATATATGTATGTTTTCGTGTACGAACACGGGATTCGTACAATTTGCTGATTGAAGAACCAAAAAGCTAGTAAAACGTACACTGGCAAATTAATTGTAATTGAAGACACTGTACGTATAAAATGTACGTACAGTTACCCAATAGTTTATTATACAAATTCAAGTAATTAGAAAACGACAACAAGTTTATGTAGTTTTACAATACTTAATATAAATCTGGTCATTAATAATAAGAAGACTGGGGAAAACAAATCCCCCTATCTAAAAAACGACCTGCTTGATCTCTTCCACTTCCGGTGTGTCCGGATCGGCAAAGACCTTTGACACAGGACCATGACTCACAACCTTAGGATTAGCTCTGTCGGTTAAACGCCAGAAGACGAGTGCGACAACAACATTGCGCTGACCTAGACTCCGAAAGAAGGTTTGGAATTCCAACGCCTGTTCATTGTGTGCTTCGCATTCCAAAACTTCGTTGCTACATTATATTAAAAGAAGAATCAAGTCAGCGTTTAGATTAAAAAGTGTAAGTGAATCAAATGTGAAAAGAACATTTACTATCTATCTTTGATCTTGAAAGGAAGCTTGAGACCGTCGAAGTCTCTGGTCAAGTGGCCAACCTCCAACAACGCTCCAATGACATCTACATATCAAGGGCCAGAAAATAGAAATAAACTTCTAATTTCAAAAATGTGTAAATAAAACGTAACTTAAAAAACATCTCACCGACTAAAACTTTAGTATCAACTGTTTTCTCCAAAATGTAGTCGAATTGAGTGAAATCGTAAAACGATATTGGGTCCCTTCGTAAGGCGTTAGTAACGACGGTCCGATCCATAAACCATATGCCGTAGTCATGAGATGTTGCTCTCACTGAGTCAGCGACGTTACGGACCAAAAAAGTGGTCACAATTTTCCACTCATTTTCTTTGATTCGGTCTATGTAAAAAGGAGCAAGGCGACGATCAATGGTGGCCTCGATACGGAAACGGGATCCCTACAGAATATGATATATAACAGATTTATATAGAATTGAACCTAACGTATGATAAAAAAACACAAACACGGCACAGGGAAACTACCGAATTATCTGCCAAGATAAGGCCGAGTTCGAAGATGTTGGGCGCAACAAACTTCTTAAACACTCTCACGACAAATACACAAATTGTCCACCCAGTGATCTGAGGACACAATTCAGAGATGGTGTGATACCCGTCCATCACACGGTTAGCAAGAACAATCGAAAGACTTTGTGTTTGATTGATGTAACTGCCGATGTGGGAAAGGGTTTTCGTTTGAAGGAATGTGGATAAAATTGAGGAGGAGATGTGGCTTAAATAAGGAAATTCCGTAACGGACGCGGTGGGTAGTGCGAAAGTGTTCCAACGGTTGAGATACAAATGTGTGTAACCGTTTGTAACCGTTTATTGCATGAAGATTATACGTACACAGACACAACAAACACGTACACTAACAAAAACGTACACTCAGAAAACGTACATAGTTATACGCTGGCAAACATTAAACGTACGTACACCGTCACAACACTTTGGTACACACTGTCCACACATAAACGTACACTGTCTTCGCGGAGACATAAGGCTTTTGAGGAGAACTAAATAGGATTTTTGCAAGTCTTCTTGTTATGACCTGCTTGTCTACATCGTGTGCACTGATTCAGAATAAGTCTTTTCTGTCTCTTTTTCTGAAATGACAACAACAATAAGTTAATAATCTACGCATCTTATACTCAAAACGTTTGAATGATAGCACTTACCCGGTTTTCATCTCTAGATGGAATCCTTTTGGTTGTTGGTCTTCCTGGTGGTCGTCTACAGTATGGAGGAATTAGTATCAAATCCGATATATGTTGTGGGATGACAACATCCTTCGGATCCGCGATTGGTAGAATCGGTTCTTGAAAAGAATCAGAAAACGTTTGAAGGCCATACCACCATCCTACAACAACCTTCGGATCTATTCCAAACTCGATTGCAGCTGCTAGACCGTGTTCACATGGGATTCTCAACTTTGTGTACCTAAGACACGTACACGTACACTCGTCCAGAACGACATGAAAATGCTCACCTAACTTGCTTGTAACTTGATAACTCCACGGTCCAGACATCTTAACCGCGAATTTCCCTGACGCAGGCAAATCTTGGAGAAAACGCTCATCAACCTCAGGCGTCACTAAAGACTTACACCTAGCCACTTTTTGCCTCCTCGCTGCGAACCATCGCATTAGGACCTCTCGAATGAACTCTATCATGTACACAATCGGATATGATTTGGCTCTTGTTAAGACATTATTCATAGACTCCGAGTTGTTGCTAGACATGATATTGTAGCGTTCCCCTTTACAGTGAGCTCTTGTCCAATGCTCAAATCCAATTTCCTCTAAGTAATTTGCGCATGCAGCACTCTTAGCCCTTAACTGTTCGAAGTATTTTTCAAAATCTCTCACTCTGTAAGCTTTAGCAGCGCTGAAGAATAATCCAGATACACCATACTTACCATAATGGGTGGAGATATTTCGCTCAAGGTGTACTGCACATGCACCATGATGAGCTTTCGGATAAACCACACTGAGGCCGTTATATATTGAAGAATGTCTGTCCGATACAATCATTAATTCTTCACTGTCTGGAACAATGTCAGCTAATTTATCAAAGAACCACACCCATGAAGCGTCAGTCTCACCATCCACAACACCAAACGCTATTGGAAATATTTGGAAGTTCCCGTCTTGGGCACATGCAATGAGGAGACATCCCTTGTAACGTCCTACTAGCTGCGTTCCATCTACGACAATTACCTTCCTCATATACTTCAGACCTTTTATAGAAGCCCCGAGAGATACAAAAACATACTTAAAGCGCTGCGTACCATCAGCTTCAGGTGTAGAGTGTAGGTGAGTTATCGTACCCGGATTAGCTAATTTAAGAAGATACAAATAGGTAGGCAAAAACCTGTAACTTTTTATATCATCCCCCCTTACATTTTCCACTGCAACCTCTTTTGCTCTCCAAGCGGTAGAATATGAAATCCGAACATTGAGATCATTTAGGAGCAACTGTGGTAAATCGACAGCTCTCGGACCCCCTTGCGTAGAACTGTATCTGCTCTTCACTACCTCTCCGAGAAGCTTATAACTAGCATGTTTATTATAATGCTTACGAGTGTCGATGTCACACGTATGGGTGGTATCATACGATGTGATTTTGAAATATTCTGAATTCTTGACAACTTGAGCTGTCAAATGCCATGGACAAGTATCATCAACGCAGACCATCTCCAATCTTTTAGGACATGACCTACGTTGCTTGTAGCAAAAGCATTGTTTGATTGCGAGATAAGACATTGTTTGTTGTATGACTTTTCTGTTCTTAAAAACACTCCCGACATACAAAGTCTCACCTGTCGTACTCAGTTCGACTTGTGTCTCATCATCTCGTAAATTGGCTAAATCATCGAATACCGGAGCAGCATCATTATCGAGAATCTCCAACTCGCCACCATGTAATGTAGAAAAGTCATTATACACTTCGTAAGCCTCAGCTGCGGTAACTAACCGATTATCATTCAGTGTCCCATTTGCGGGAGCTCCAATACCACGGTCGATAGTGACTTCGTATATACCATTAATATTGGTATCCGTGTTACATTCGCAGCCTGAATCTTGTACACACTCTGTAGTGTACGTACATTGGTACAAACCATGTTGACACGTACGTCTTGGAGTCACCGTTGGTGTACGGTCACCCGAATGAGAAATGTTATCTCCGCCAGGTGCAGTAACTAGCCGATTATCATTCAGTGTCCCACTTGGGGAATCTCCAATACCACGGTCGATAACATCATCCCCAGAGACATCGTCTATACCATTAATATTGGGATCGGTGTTACCTTCGCAGCCTGTATCTTGTACACATTCTGTTGTGTACGTACATTGGTACAAACCATGTTGACACGTACGTCTTGGAGTCACCGTTGGTGTACGGTCAACCGAGTTATCTCCCCCACGTACACGATGACTTGTGTACGTACACTCTGCCAATAGACGACTGAATTCCCCTGGATGTTGAACCGTTTGTTGAGTGAGAATGACGTCCTCCTCAACATTCCCTATTCCATATTCTTCAATAATTAAATCGTTCCACTTGTTGTAATCGTAATCTTCGCCACTGCCTTCACTACCGTCTATAGTAGGATCGAGGGTACTTCCCCCCATAGATCCATCATCACCCTGATAATCATCATACCCAGCACCATCTTCGTTTTCCTCCTCCTCTTCTTCATCCTCATCTGTTTTATCATCTTCAACGTCGTCTTGCTCATCTACGGCCTCATTATTTCCATCTACATTTGAAGCCGCTACGATGGGATTTGGTGTCGTTGCACTCCCACACACACGGTAACTCTCACCATCGGTCCTAGGGACAGTATTCCCGAGTGCCTTGAAAGAGACAAACAAGGTGACACTAGGATCCCCACCACGAATCAAAAAGAATGTATCCAGGTTCATTTGATTGTCAATGTATACAGGAGGGCGTTTACTTTCTATCATCACTGACATCTTTCCCGGCATCCAGTAACTAATTATTGGATTGCATTCGGTGCACTTCAAACTGAAAACCTCGCATAATGTACGTACAAATTCCGTGTACGTCATGTTTTGCCTAACACGTACACAACGACCAAACCAGCCTTCCCATGGTTCAAATTTCCATTCTTCTTCTTTGCATTTCCACTCACCCACCATAGTAAATACGGGAATATCCATTACCAACCTGCATCATAAATTCACCAGAACCCCATTAAATGCAAATGAAAGCATGATTATATCTACAAAAAAACAAAAAGAATTCCCAACTACACACTTATAAACATAAATCTATCCTCATTTAGCAATTTCAACTAAAAAAAGTGGAAATAAAAATATTCTGGGTTTTTATATAAAAACAATGTTGATCTTAGCACACAATCAAGACCCTAGTGTGTTAAAACAAAAAACTTCTTAACCAATTTCATTACTTACACGTTCAATGCTTGTCTTGGCTCCAAACTTTGTAAATCAAGAAGATCAAACCGATGCAGAATCACATTCGTTCAGAAAAATTTGTTTGTTTCATGGATCATGTTTGTCTCTTACAACTATTCACGCATAAAAACTAATATTAGAAAAGTAATGATGACTTTTGCATTAATTGTGACATGAGTCATGTCTAAACTTTTTGGGCATTAAATACTGATGTCTCATTGTGTTTTAATGTTTTTATTCCCAACTTGTCACTGTACTCCCGCACAAAATCAATTAAGAGCGAAATATATTGCGTAACCGGAACAGTGTACTTAACTAAACCTCTTAACTGAACCGTACAGTGAACCGCTTAACTGAACCGTACGCTTAACTAAACCGTACAGTGAACAGTACATCGGTAAGGGTAAAATGGTCAGATTTTGGCCAAAATGTCAAAACATGAAAGCTCATTCTCTCTTTGCCAAAACTTGAAAATAAAACTTGGTCAACTGCCATAACTTGAAATTTACCCTATTATAAAACCAGAAAATATAGAAAAAAAATAATCTCACACAGATATTTCTGAGTAACCTTAAAGCAAAATATACCATGCAACGGGAGCATGGATTTGCTTGGTGTGAAAGAAACAACAAGATCCACTCCAACGTAGTCAAGCAAAACAATCATCAGTCGGTATCAAGCATAATCATAAAAGTCACAATGTAAAGGGCTTGCAACATCCCGATCATCAGATTATGATTACATCAATTCCTTTGCAACCCTAAATAATATGAAAGGATTATTATACCAGAGGAAACTATTCTTATCAGTGAAAAGAAAAATAAGTACAAGGAAGATAAAGCAATAATATGAAGAAACTTAGAGCATCTCCAACAGTAATGTCTGGAGGAATGTCTCAAGATTTTCTAATATAAAAGTAGGAGAGAGTGTATACACAGTTTCTGGTTTGAGAAACTTTGAGAAACTGTGTCTCCACTTGTCTTTTTATTATTGGTCAAATTCTTTTTTATAATTTATAATTTAAATAAATAACTTATTTATTATAAATTAATTAAAATAGTATTTTTGAGACACCCACACAGTGTCTGATGGATGGAGATGCTCTAAGAAACCATTGAAATATAATCATTGGTTAAAGCCCATGCTTGTTTGGGTCTTATCCTCTTAGGTTAGGTTACATGCCGAACATTAAAGAGATTTTTCATATCTTATATATATAAATATAGTTTGAGCGATTTCTATTCATATATCTTTCTCTGTTCAATCATGAATAGAGAAAAAACTTTCGATTCCATTCCTAAGGATCTCTTTCCTGATATATTCTCGAAATTGTCTGCAAATTTAATAGCGAGATGTCGTTGCGTGTCGAAGCTATGGGCGTCAATACTTAGCCGTCAAGATTTCACCGAATTGTTTCTGACTAAGTCATCAACTCGTCCACGTCTCTTATTTGGGGTCAAACGAGCCAACGGTGAGTGCCTCTTCTTCTCGTCTACTCAGCCTCGGAATCCATATGAAAAGTCGTCTCTTGTAGTAACCGCTGATTTTCATACCAAGTTATCTGAAGTTATAAGCCGGGAAATTTGTAGCTATGCTTCTGGTTTGGCCTATCTCTCTGATATGAGAATATCAGTGAAGGATGAGGATGTAGTGCGTGTGATATGTAACCCTATCACGGGAAAGTATACGGTCTTACCTAAACTGAGAAGGTACGTAAAGTCGTATAGTTATTTAGTGTTTGATCCAATTGACAAGCAATTCAAGGTATTGTTCATGGCTTATCCATCTGGTCCTGATGATCATAAAATTCTGACCTTGGGAACTCGAAAAATGAGGTGGAGGAAAATCCATTGTCCCTTAACTCATGATCCTTTTTGTGGAGGGATATGCATCAATGGGGTTTTTTATTACTTAGCTATCAAAAGTGATGAAACCTTGGTTAATAGAAGATCTTATGTCATAGTTTGCTTTGATGTTAGATTTGAGAAATTCAAGTTCATCGACGTAGAATGCTTTTATCATTTAATAAATTATAAGGGAAAATTAGGCGGGATTAATTGGAATTATGCTAGCGCTGATGGAAGTCGTACCTTTGAGTTGAGAATGTGGGTTCTAGATGATGCCGAGAAACATGAATGGTCGAAATATGACTACACTTTTCCCGAACATGAAGTCTTTTTCTACAATATTGTTCTTGCCGTTGGGATGGCTGCTACATGTGAAATTGTTTTGTCGGAGAAGTTTACATCGAAACCGTTTTATGTCTTCTACTTCAATCCAGAAAGAGACACTCTCCAAAGAGTTGAAATCCAAGGATTGGAGAATCACTGTAGAGTTTACACTATTGCAGACCATGTAGAGGATCTTAATGTTAAGGATGCAAAGCAACTCAAGTCAGGCCCATACATCATTACGAAAAAGCCAAAAGCACAACAACGTCGAAGTTGTCTGAGTAAGATCTATAACATAAGAGTCTAGCTATTTCGGCTGACAGTGTGAGCTCTATCACTCTGTCGGCTTAGCCTTTTGTTCTTTCTGATTATCATGTCCTAATTGTTTTACTCGTTACTTTGGAGTTGGGAGCAAATTAATGTTTTATCTACATTGCCTTTTCATAAACCTCTTTGTTTTCTTCGTAATGTTAATGTTTAAAAGTTATTTTAAGATCTCTATAGTATCCTTGTTTCCTTTGACATTGTTTCTACAAAATTACTAGATCGATCTACCGAAAATAACCGCGGTTTTTAATTACTAATTCGTGCCACTTTCATACTTTTACCAGCCTATGTTTCAAACTCTTCTCGGAAAATCAGAGCAAGAGTTTGAATTTAATCATTCCATGGTCGGCTGGACGATCCCTCTTCCTAAAGATACTTCTCTTTGGCATAATCTAAGAATACCCCTTATCAAAAGGTTCTTGACTGCAAAAAAGATTATTAGTGAGCTGTAGCAGGAACGAGTAAAATAACCTCCAACACCAAAAGTGTTTCTTGCAATGTACGTCAGAAATAACCAGAAGAAGAAGCAGAGATACTTCGTGCCAGTCTCTTACTTGACTAATCAGCTTTTGTTTCAAAGGCTTGAACGATCCCTTGTCTTGTAGATACTTTTTCAGAACTTCAAGTCACTCTTCTTGCTCCTTAACCAAGCAGATACTATCCTCTTTGGCGAGTTGATGATGTTGCTTGATGTCAAAGAAACAATAAGATCCATTCTAACCTAGCAAGCAAAACAATAATCAGTATCAGAGACGGAAAATGAATCCAATGACCAATGAAATGATATATTTTAAAGCTAGAGACGAATTATTTCATCCCAAAAGTTGAGTAAAATCATTGAAAACACACAATCTAACATCACAATCATTAGCTTAGAATCGCTCAGAATTATGATTAAAAATTACATAAATTCCTTTTCGCAACCCTAATGGACCAATTATTATACGAGAGGAAACTATATATTATTATCATATGTGAATAGAAAGAAAAAAAGTACCATTAAGATAAAACAAATCATCGGAAAAAATCAATAAACCCATTGAAATATTCTTGGGCCTTAATTAGGTTAGTGCCGACTCTAAATAGGTTCAATTTCATGATATTCATAAAGAGTCTGTGCGATTCGTATTCATAGATCTTTCTCCATCCAATCATGAATGGAGGCGATTCTATCCCAATTGATCTCTTTCTTGAGATATTCTCTAGATTACCTGCAAAGTCAACCGCTAGGTTTCGTTGCGTGTCGTTCGTCGTCCATATTTCACCGAGTTGTTCTTGACAAAGTTCTCGGCTCGTCCACGTCTCTTATTCGCCGCCGTACGAGACGGTGAGTACAGCTTCTTCTCGTTGCCTCAGTCTCAGAATCCATGTGAGAATAAGTTGTCTCCTATAGTAGCCGCCGATTTTCATATGAAGTTTTCTAAAGGCATAAGCGAATATGATTGTAGCTATGCCTCTGGTTTGATCTATTTTCATAATATGTGCATCCCAAGGGAGGATGAGGATACAAAGCGTGTGATATGTAACCCTACCACCGGACAGTATGTGATCTTACCTGAACTGAGAAAGCACTTCATGTCGTACAGCTATTTAGGGTTTGATCCAATAGACAAGGAATTCAAGGTATTGCTCATGAACACTAGTGGTTATATAGCTTATAATGATACAGATCATCATATTTTGACATTAGGAACTGGAAAAATGAGGTGGAGGAAGATCCAATGTCCTTTTAACCATGAGCCTTTGTGGGAAAGGATATGCATCAATGGGGTTTTGTATTACAAAGCTCACCAGTTTGATGGAAGGTCTTATGTAATAGTTTGCTTTGATGTTAGGTCTGAGAAATTCAAGTTCATTGAGGCAACATTTTGTAATATGTTTACTCAATTGATAAACTATAAGGGTAAATTAGGTGTGGTTAATTTGAAGAATGTTGATGATGGTACAAGTTTTAGGCATACCCTTGAGTTTCGTATGTGGGTTCTGGAGCATGTTGAGAAAATGGAATGGTCGGAATATGTCTACACTTTGTTGGATAGTAATGAAGCAGCTGATGATCTTGTTGTTGATCTTGTTGTTGTCGGGATGACTGCTACTGGTGATATTATTTTGTCGAAGATAGATACATGTGAACCGATTTATGTTTTTTTCTTCAATCCCGAAAGGAAAACTTTCCAAAGTGTTGAAATCCAAGGTTTTGGAGCTAATCGTGATTGCAGAGTTTACCCCTTTGTAGACTATGTAGATGATCTTAGCTTAAACCATGCAAAGCAACTCAAGTCAAGCCCAGTAAAGAAAGGCCTAAATGTCATTACAGAGACTCGAAAACCAAAACAACATCGACATAGATCTCGAGAAGTCTGCAACTCTACTCCTTCTGTGAAGGACAAGCAGCAGAATAAGTACAAATTATTATCACTATGTTGGCTTAGCTATTTTTTTTTTTTTTTGATCTTATATTTTTTAAAAAAATTTACTCAGATGTTATAGAAAAGTATGTTTATTATTAGAATATCATATATCTTTTAAAAATTACTCATATGTTTTGAACATTTGTGTAATTACAATTAACACCCTTCATTAGTTTTTTTTTTATTAATAATTTTTAATTTGTTTTTAATTAAAAATAATAAATAAAAATTTGATTATTCATGTCATTAATTCACATCACCAATCTCACACTCCTCAAACTCACGTTATTTCTCCTCTTTTCTTTTATTTTTTGTCTCCAAATCCAATAAAAGCTTTTAGATTTAATAATGTGCAACTAACTTGGGTACAACATTGACAGAGATCTTCAAATTGCAGGATTGGGCTGGATCTTCCTAGACCTCACAGCTACAACGCTTGCCATAGGGTCCCAAATCAAAAGCTTCGTCAGATCTACTCGCAACCTCGCTCACGAAAAAAGTCATCAAAAATCAAAACCCAAATCAAAGAGATCTATGGAATTCTACATGATTCGTTACAGGTTTGAGTTGAAATCAAAAATAGCTACTCTTTTACTTTGATTTTACATGTCTCTCGTTTAATCTTCCTCTCAATCGATCTATTTGGAGACATTTCTTCTTCTATCTATGTTTTGATTCATACGGTTTAGTTATCCTCCTATGTATCCCTCAAACATATTTTTACGAATCTTAATTTGATTGTTGTTATTTGACCAATAAATTTCATATTGTCTTCTCCAAAAAAATGTTACTTTCCGATCTGTATTATAAATCAGCCGTAAAGTGATGTAACTCAGCCGTAACATATAATTTACACAACTTTTCGTCTTCCCTGAATGATAACTCAGCCGTGACATGTAATTTACCGAACCTTTCATCTTCCCTGAAGCATATAACTCAGCTGTAACATATAATTTACACACATCTTTCGTCTTCCCTGGAGAATATAACTCAGCCGTGACATGTAAATTTACCGAACCTTTCGTCTTCCCTGGAACATATAACTCAGCCGTGACATGTAAATTGACCGAACTTTTCGTCTTTCCTTAAGCATATAACTCAGCCGTGACATGTAAATTTGCCGCGAAACAATAAGAGACGCAACATTTCGTCTTACTTTATCATCGAGCACCAACTTCACAAGTTTTTCGTGCGTTGTTTCCGCATCTATCTGCACAACTCTACACCCTCTTTCATCGGTGTTAAATACGTATTTGTGTTTCTATACCCAATTACCGGAACCGGATCAACCATATCGGGAGAAGGATGAAAGAAATTGAAGAAGAATGAGGAAGACGATGAGGAATTGGAAGTTCCGGTGATGTGAAAAACTCAGGTGAAGAAGACGAGTTGAAAAAATTTGGCCCTATTTTTTTGTCCTTTGATGATGATGACATGGAATGTTGCATCCACGTCATTTTTTAATTGATGAAGTGGCAAGTAAGCCGTTTACTGTCGTAACTCAACCAAAAATATTTAACTCAGCCGTGTCGTTTAATAAGTCGGCTGTCATTGCATGCTATTCTAGTAATTAATCTTTCGCTACTAAGTCAGCCGTAATAAGGCCGAGTTTTCCGTTAATCCAGCTCATTACGGCTGATTTATGACACTCGTAACGTCATCCCATAACTAAGCCGTCTTTGATAACTCAGCCAGCCGGAGAAAGTTAAGTCAGCCGTGTCGAAGCAATAACTCAGCAAAAATTTTGACAAATCAACCATCGGGTGAAAACTCAGCCGTAACTTAGGCTGGGTTATGCTCGAAAGTCAGCCATTTTATCATAATTCAGACAGATTTCAGTAAGTCAGCCGTAACTCCAGGCTGGGTTATACTCGTAAGTCAGCCGTTTGCTCATAACTCAGCCATTTTTCTTACATCAGCCGCAACATACCGTAACTCAGCCGTCACTGCCGCTATATCGCTTGACGGCTGAGTTTATTAATACACGTCAGCGATTTCTGACGTGGCGACGCGGCTTTGCTGACGTGGCAGTGTCATTCTTTGTAATTACGTTTTTTCTTGTAACGTTTAACAGGGGCACGCTGGGTATAAAAAATATACCTGAAATATGATAGTAAAAAAAAAAGATCTGTATATTTCTGGTAATTCCATATAAAATGTTCTGAGTAAAGTTTCCTATTTTTTATCTCTATGATTTTGTTGACTTAGCTATTTTTGTCTAAGAAAACAAAACAAAAAACAAGATTTATGGATTTTTGAAGTAGGACAAGCTTTTGATATACCTTGCGATGGGAGCATAATTTACACCATAAAAGGTTATTTTCTATAGTGATCTCTCTATCCATGGTTCACATCCAAACCAAACCAGCCTACCTGAGACACAGGTTCTTCGTCGCGTCGACAGCTTATACTGTGACAGATGAGCGTCTTCATTTAGCCGACCCTAGCACTAGCAGGCAAGTTTTTCCAACTTTGGTTCACAAGAAAACTCCCATGATATTTGTGAGCTTTATTTCTTCATTAAATATCAAGATTCATATCTTTAACATGAATATTAGTGAGCGTTCTTTGTCCGTGGTTAATACTTAACAATTATTCTCTGCTATGGGATATGAGACGTGAGCTTCTTTCTTTTTGCATGCATTTGATCCAATGTGGACTCCCAAAGATACTTTGATTAACAACTAATCATGAGAAACACAGGTTAACTAAAAATAACCAAGACCTAGTTTCAGAAAACACAAAATGGCTGTGGTAAGACGTTTCTTGGCTGCAAAGAAGATTATTGGTGGCTCTGTAGCGGAACTGAGGAAAGAAAATTCAGCAATATTAGGGTTTCTTGCAGTGTACGTCAGGTAAAACCAAAAGAAGAAGAAGAAGAAGAGACGCAATTTTGAAGATGGTTGCCCTCTGTTACATGGCGATTTCTATCACTTGACTCTTCCTGAGAATTTAACCTTTACCTATTCTTCCTAGAGCTGATGTGAACGTTCATCTTTAGTATCACTGTTGCCTCCGTTCCTCTTTTGATGAGCTGCTTTAGGTTTCTTAGGCCTTCCAGTTTAATTAAATATACTTGTTACTGAATATAGCCATAGAACAAATGCAAAAGTTCCAACAACCATTGAGATTTTAAGTACAGAGTCTCTGTCACCACTAAGACACAAAATCTTATTTGTCCGCAGCAAAATCATTTTGGGCACATTCACAATAACTAAAAACCGTGCGAGATCAACAAGTGATCTCTTTTTTGAATAGTTGGCTAGTCAATGTTCCCAACCAAACATGCAAGGAGTGGAAGTACCATCAAAATATATTTTGGACAAGCACTTGAAATTTAGGTTTGAGTTCTTCCCCAATTCAATTTTGGAAATTTAGTGTGTTTAGAAATAATAACAGAATTTGGAGAGTATCAAGCAAAATCATAATTGACAATGTAAAGGGGCTTGCAACATTCGATCATCAGAAATTCATAATTCAGAAGAATCGGTCAGAGATAATGAAATATTTAGATGGTTAAAGCCCATGCTTCCTGGGCCAAGGTTAGTGCCGACCAAGAATGAAATCTAATTAGGTCGAACTTTAAGAGATTTCACATTTGTATTCTTATCTCTCTCTCTCTTTCTCTGTCCGATAATAAGCAACTACAACGACGATCATGAATAGAGAAGCAAACTCAGATTCCATCCCTAATGATCTCATTCCTGACATACTCTCGAGATTGCCTGCAAAGTCAATCGTTAGGTTTCGTTGCCTGTCGAAGTTATGGGAGTCCATTATTTGCCGTCAAGATTTCATCGAGTTGTTCCACACAAGGTCCTCATCTAATCCACGTCTCTTAATTGGGGTCGAAAAAGGTGGTGAGTGGAGCTTCTTCTCCTCTCCTCAGCCTCAGAGTCATTATGAGAAGTCGTCTCTTGTAGTAGCCGCCGATTTTCATATGAAGTTTTCTCAAGTAAGAATGACTTACTATTGTAGCTATGCTTCTGGTTTGATCTATTTCCCTGATTTTCGGATCTCAAAAGATGGGTTTGATAAAGTGATATGTAACCCTAGCACGGGGCAATCTGCGATCTTACCTCCTGACCTGACAAGAACGTTCAGAAACTTCAGTGGCCTTTTAGGGTTTGATCCGATTGGCAAGCAATTCAAAGTTTTGGTCTTTAACGATAGAACCGATGATGAATTCATTTATCATATTCTGACATTAGGAACTGAAAATGTGAGCTGGAGGGAGATCATATGTCCCTTAACTTATGGTTTTCGTTGGGAAAAGATATGCATCAATGGGGTTTTGTATTACATAGCTTCTGACCCTGATGAAGAGGATGAAAAGATAGGTTGCTTTGATGTTAGGTTGGAGAAATTCAAGTTTTTATATGTATCTCCCAATCTGATAAACTATAAACTGATAAACTATAAGGGTAAATTAGGTTTGATTAATTTAGACTATGCTTACGATGGTGGATTTCCCCTTGAGTTACGTATGCGGGTTCTAGAGGATGTCGAGAAACAGGAATGGACTACATATGTCTACACTTTGATGGCTGAGAATAAAGCCGTCATGGTTAACAACAATCTTTCCGTTGTTGGGGCAACTGCTTCAGGTGAAATTGTTTTGGCGAAGGATAATGCATATAAACCTTTTTATGTTTTCTACTTTAACCCCGAAAGGAACACTCTCCGAAGTGTTGAGATTCAAGGTGTTAGAGAAGAGGAAGAATGGTTTGGCGATCATAGAGTTTATTACTTTGTAGACCATGTAGAGAATCTTAGATTTGATGTTATGAAGACTACATCTGCTGCAACATCTTTAGGCCCACCAGAATAGAGCACATCAACATCATCTAGAGAAGATCATCAAGTGAGGACCGTTGCTCACCTGGAACAAGATCGTCGTAGATTTGAGAGTATTAACAAATTTGATGCATTGTGTCTTTTAGAAGATGATTGAAACTTAAATGTGTTAGAACCTGATTGCTTAACTTACTCCTCAAGTCAGCTGATGCAAGTTGTATTTGTATTCTCTCTCTATAGTTGTATTCGTTATATCAAAAAAATGTTCTTGCTTTTCTTGATTTCAATGTTCATTTCTTAATTACGTTTCTACTATTTCAGAAGTACTAGCTAGAGTCTATAGTCACTATGGAAAATACGATGTGGTGTCAACGCTTTTGAAAAAGTAACAACGGTTCTTGACGAATTGCTTGAAATTGCTTAATCAGGATTTCCAAAAAGTTAGTCAAATTGTCTGCATTCACCCTGCAAACTATGGCTTGGTGTTTATCACCGAAATTGAGAAATACATATATTGAGTTGCAAAATAGCTCAAGAATTTCATAGATGGAAAATATAAAGTCAACTTTCAGAAAACCAACTATTTATTTATTTATATCAAGCATAATGTTCATAGACTAGAAGGAAATAGGTTTTCCTCAATCTTAACAAGGTCTTTTAATTAAAAGGATATATTTACAGCATCAACAAGATTATTTACTACTCCCTCTGTATTTGAAAAAATGTCGTTTCAACTGTTTTTGGGTGAATTAAGAAAGGGCACAGAATTACAAAACTAACCTTATGAGAAACGATTATTTACAATTATATTTTTGGTATATGTAGTTTTGGTAATTTAGACTGATTAATTATGATCAATTAATTGGGGGTAATTTAGGAAATTTTATGCAAAAGTTGTTAAAATGACAACTAATTAAAAACACAGAAAAAAAGGCTAGAACGACATTTATTCAAATACGGAGGGAGTATAGTATTCGGATGCTGCCCAATGTTTCTTTGTAACTCTACTGGATATTGAAAGCGAAGTGGCGCTTGGTCCATGCACCATTCTCCTCCATGTACCTCTCAAAGAGCATCACTTCCTTGGTGCGTTTCACAACCAATGCTGTCGTACTTGTTGTTCCAAAGCGTTGGCTTCGAAGCTGAATCGAAATGGGAAAAAAGGAGATTTATTAAGGGATATAGTGAGGATCATAAAATCAGTAGATCAATATCTTACCTTTTCAGAAGGATGCTCATCTCAAGTTTGGAGAAACACCGCGTCTCTTCCTCCTGCAGCATCATACATAAACCTCCCAGCAATCCCCTGCATCTGTGGTTTTTCATTGTTTCCCAAATCAACAATCATCTGGCTAAAAAGGCCTCTTAGGCGTGAATCCTGCATGATACCCAAAAAAAAAAAAAAAACAGATGATTTGATTATAGACATAGAAAAGAAACTATACAAAAACATTTGCAAAATGGTTATAACAACTCTACTCTATTACAAGACACTTGTACATTAAATTACCCTGGAAGATTCTGTGGAATCTAGGCCCTCGTAAGAAGAAAGTGTATGCACACCAAACGGAACGGTCTCTATTATGACATCCGACTTAGTATCCAAGGGTTTCAGGATATGAACCATTGAACTCGAAGTCATGTCTGCAACGATAAGACTATAGACATGCCTTTCATTACTCTTCTTTTCATGCAGTCTCAGTTCGTTGGCAAACTGGTCTGGACTCATGCTGCCCTGTAATCAAAAGCAATCCCGTGATCAGAGATCGAAAGAGTTGGGATATAAATGAAGAGAAGAAAAGCAAACCTCCAAGAAACGAACGGGATACAACTCCAAGCCGCCGTTTGCCTTAACGCGGTCTAACAACAACGATGTATTCACGAGAAAAGCGACTCTGAGCCTCGTTTAGTAATACCAAACCACGTTCCGTTGTTAGCTTTGCACCGACCACTCAAAATCTGGCCGTTTCGACTCCAAGATGCCCCACTTATGACCCTATTAATCACTCATATAAAGAAAAGAAAAGAAAAAAAAAGTATTTAACAACAATGTCTGATGCACAAAATTAAAACCAAAAATGTCTGAATCTTATACTTGCCTGTTTTCCCAATTGTCTCTGTTCATCAGCAGCGTGAGTTGGTTGTTGTTTCCCTCTGTCCAGTTGAATGCTACGATCCCCATTTTTGTTTTTGAAAGAATATTATAAGTTTTTGCTATTTGATCTCTTGCTCTGTGTTGTTTTGTTGTAGTGATTTGTGTTGTGACCCCCTCTCTGTTTTTATAGCCGAGAGATGAGTCTCTCTGCTCTACTTTTTCCTTTGCTTCTTCTCCCAACTACCCCACGCTCTTAAGAGATTCTTTATCCATTTTTGTATATAGCTTTTGTTGTTTTCTGTCACCATCATACTCGTCCTTCATTCAGTAACCACTAGAAGCCGTGTCTATGTGATGCAATTTACTTTTATAGATTCATGTATGTAAACCCACAAAAGTGGCTTCTAGTAGCTCAATGTGACATACTAAGTACAATGGAAGACACTTTGTTTCAACATTTCTCAAATTGTTCCACATTCCACTTTGTTTCAACATGTCTATGTGGGAATCATTTAGAATTAATTTTTACTATACTAAGAAAATACAAGAAGTGGTTTCTGGTAGCACACAAGTTTAAAACCCAAATCCAACTATTATTTGGTCTTAGCTAGCCTTGGTAGTCCGATTCTAGTGGCTCTAGCTAGTGCTGATTGAGTAAGGAGGAGTCATTTGTATGTGGAACAATGTAGAAAATACTTTTACTAATCTGAGACAAAGTGAAATGAAGACGTTACTTGAGAAAACACAAAGGAGGTGATGAGGTGGCAGCTAGGGCCAGTTTTGATTGTTGTATGATTGATTTTATATATGTTCAAATTGGTTTTAGTCATGCTCTATTATTTTTAGGATGATTATATAGTGTTTGCTTAGTTGGTGCCTTATTGGGATTATGCTAATGTCATACTAAAATGTCTTAACCATATTGTTACTACAAAAAAATTAAATCAGACACATTCATGAATTTTTTAAAAAAAAAATTTGTCACCCTAGCTCCCATAGAGGAAAGACCAGAGATGATCTTACCAAGACCCATAATCAAATAGATAATAAATCGACCAGAATGGTCCCTAGGAGAAGTAACAAAGCAGTAACTCAATATATTAAACTGAGGCATGAAAAGAAACAGGGAAGCCAATTCATCAGCTCTCAAAATAAAACGAGAAGACTCATTTTACAGAATTGAGATTGATGATGTGACACGTTGCTGTGTCTAAGTGTATAAGAATCTGATGTGTAGGTTTAACATGAGGACAGAACAACTCGTATAATTAGAGGAATGATTGATTTTATTATATATGAAGTTAATCATAATGCATTGGAACATGATATTTAGAAAATGCATCAAATATGTTTGAATGAATTGCCTAAGAGAAACTTAAATCCACCTCCTTCGCCATTGTAAGTCCCTGTGAAGACTCTTGGACTCGTCCTTTTTGTGAAGTCTCTTTGACTGGTTTAAGGAATCAGTTAGTGAGTGAGTGCGATGATTCAGAATCATATATTGACTCAAAATAATCAAACAATGAGATAGTTTACCTTGTTGTATCAATGACTTCCATAATTGTAGTTAGATAGGAGATGTGTTGGTCATCAGAAGCTACATTCACCTTTGTCTGCTCATCCTCCTCAATAGAGAAATAGGAGGGCGTAAACTTATAGAAGTCTTCGGACCAACATTCGGTTGTCCCCAAAACTCCCCAACTGTCAGCTTCCAAGTCGTACACATGAAGCACCATATTATTCTCCAACACCACTAGACACTTGCCGTCATATGCAACTACGTACCAACATTTAAGCCATGTTTTCTCCATTGATACATTCTTGATCTGCCTTTCGAGTGCCCACTTGTGATTCCCGAGCAGTGTGTAGATTGAGATTTCTTTTATCGTCCCAGATATCAAGGTCAGGGGGTTGATCTTATCTTTTGCTGCGAAAAGCACCTTCGTATCCGGTTTTGGATGGAAGCTAGAAGGAATCAGTCGTGCTTGCTCTGTCTCGGGATTGAATGCTATTAGGCTCCAGTCGTTTCTCAACCAGTGAAGATTGCCATCTACGTAAACATGGCTCATCCGCGTCTTGAGACCACTTTTGGAGCTAGTCTTTAGGGTCGTTTTTGATAACCTCCAAGAATCTCTGTCGCTGATTTCGAATATGTACTTCGTTTCCATCTCAAGTATGCAGACGATCTTGAATCTCTTGGTGGTTCGATATGGATCTACCACGAAACCAACGCACATCGCTCTCTCTGTACGAACAAGTGGACTATTGGGGTCATAAGGATCATCTTTTTTGACACCACCAACTATGTGAGGCAGGAGCTTTGAACCAGAGTGATTCAGGATTCGAAACTTCTTTGTCAAGGGATTTGCGACGAAGAGATGACCAATGTATAGTAGGAGAAGGCCGGAGCATGAGCCAAAAATGTAACATTGCTCGTTGATGAACTCTGCTCTGTATTCTAGTGACACATAATCACATGAAGAGACCAAAGGCTGGCAGAAGACGAGAGATCTGTCAGAGCTCGAAAGGTTAATCAAATTGGATCTGACCCATGAATGGTATTGAGGTCCAAATCTTGGGTCAGTTAAATACGATTTGATAGATTTGTTTGTACATCGCATCATTGCCATGGATTTGGGATCCATTCTAAAAGGAATCTCGTCAATAAGATGCAAAGGTAAGCCATTCATGATCATAGTTGAAAGATTTTTTTGCTTGTTGATACGATTATTTTTGTTTGTTAATTTCAGTTATTACTAATGAGGTTTTAAATAGAGAACAAAATATAATTTAATGATCAATTCAAGAGACAATCTCACCAATATAAGAAAATCAAAATTACCAATTTTAATTAAATTTTGATGGATTTTAACATATGATTTAAAACTCTAGATAGTCTTTGATGAAATAATGAAGATATAAAATATTATATATAGTTTTCTTATCAACTAAGCTATTATATAGTTACTTATTTCAACAAAAGGTCAAAAATATAACATCCACTAATAAGAAATATTTCTTAAATTCTAAATTTATTTCTTTAAAATCTTTTGAAAATTAATGATTAAATAACAATGGATTAAAGTTAAAGGTGAAATTCTATCAAAGTTGATTTTAATATTTCACAATACATAATTGGATAACACTCCCAAAATCTCCAACATGTGAATATGGCACGTCATTGGTTGTGATAATTTTTATTACGGTCAAACTCTCTAGATATTAGGATTTGCCTCTCTCTCTCTCTCTCTCTCTCTCTGACCATTATGTTTGATTATTTTTGAGTCAATATATTATTCTGAATCATCGCACTCACTCACTAAATGAAACCCAAATGATTAGAACAAGTTAGACTTGCAAGAAATCCGATTTGTCTCTGTTCATGAGGAACAAGAATTGTTTGCCGCTCCATTCTACTATTGACGCGGAATGCTTTAGGGATCAGCGTGCCACTAGATTGATCAACTACAAGGGTAAATTAGGTGGGATTGATTTGACGTATGATGAGGCTGATGCCATTGTGTTGAGTATGTCGGTTCTAGAGGATGTCGAGAAAGAGGAATGGTCGAAATATGTCTACACTTTGCCTCACAATGACATTGGTGTCTACAATGTTTTTGTCGTTGGTATGACGGCTAGAGGTGAAATTGTTTTGGCGGAGAAGTATACATCAAAACCATTTTATGTTTTGTACTTCAATCCGGAAAAGAACACTCTCCAAAGTGTTGAAATCCAAGGTGTTGGACCTAACGGTGAAGCGTTTGAGACTGATTGTAGAGTTTACGCCTTTGTAGACCATGTAGAGGATCTTAGTGTTCACTCTCATATCGAGCATCACAGTGAAGGCTATGGCTATGGAGATGGAGATGGATATGAAGATGAATATGAATATGATGAAGAAGATGAGAGTTAGGTAAAGGCCTGTGGATAGCTGAATCGATGTCCTTTTAGACTTTTTTGATTAATCACGTTTTCATATATTTTAAAAAAATGAATATATTTGATGTGGTTGCTTCTTTTGGGGGTCAAATGTGGTGTCTGATAAAAGTGGTCACAGTTCTCGTGAAAGAATAAGAGAGAGAGATTCACAATTATATATTTATAACAAGCTGCAAGTTTCTTGGAGCAAGTAACTAAGCTCTTTCAAGTTGCTGCTTTAGCAGGAGAGGAGAGTTTTCCAAGGACAACAACGGAATCACCAATTTCAATTGTTTTGCCTATTCCATCGCCGAATCCATCTTTCCAAACCATGTTCTGCCCAAAGTATATCTGCATCATTTTCAGATATACCATTCAAAACTCTCATACTCATTTGTTATGACGATAAACGGAACCACGATCTTTCTTTACCTTTCCCTGTGGTTTCCTCCTTGGCTGTAAAACTTTGTCTGACCTGAAATTCCTCAGAGTCTCAATCGGCTCTTGACCTCCAATACCAGTTTCTTGATTAATCGTTGGTACCTGATCATGGACAAATTAAAAACCTCATCCTTAAAAGAACAAACCAAACAAAAAAAGATTCATGGAGTTTTGACAAGATTTTGATATACCTTGCAACGGGAGCATAGTTTCACACCGTGAAAGGTGAAACCGTTTATAAGGATCTCTGTCCATAAGTCTTCAGCAAATGGTTCACATCCATCAACAAAGATGCTGTAACATTTCCCAGTGACAGTTATCAAGTGTTGTTACAAAGGAATAAAAACACTGTGGTCTTTCCTTTACACATACTTGGGTCTAAATCGGTTGATTGGTACAGGCTCCTTGAGAAGCTTATTCAGGGAATCAAGCGAACCCTGGAAATAGCACGAGACTATTTAGAGCAGAACCGAAAGAAAGAAATCGAACTTGATCCTCTGACCTGTGATATAAGCAAGAATGGATACATATCCGAGAACATCGCAATGTGACCAGGAGCATAATTTGGATCCACAGGCCTAGTCTCAGAGGCTGCAATATAAAAAGCAAAGATGTGGCTCGTGATTAAACATGCACCGCCAAAATCTTTCACAGGAATCAAGCTGTATGATTAAGACAGGAAAAAGTTTATAAAACCTGAATCAAAACGAACAAGTCGACAAGGCTTCCCAACAAAGTTTGTAAACCACTGAGATGCTTCTTCTCCTTCATCTAGTGCGGAGCCAGACCACTCCCAAACTGAGACACCGTCTGCTATTTTGTCGGGTTTAGCTAGGGAGACCTTAAGGGCATCCATACCAGGAGCTCTCACCACTGCAAACACACCCAAAACATGAGAAAAAAAAAGACCATCTTCATAAATGAAAAGTCAGTTGAAAAAGAAGACATAAAAACAATCTGACCCATGTTAGAGCTCTTCTCAGGCTCCCAGTCTTCTCCAAACGCATGCTCAGGCATCTCTACTCCAATCAACGAAAGCTTGGGTTCCACTCTTTGAGTCAATCCTCTTCCTTTAGAGTTCACAATCAACCAGTTTCGATCCCATCGAAATCCTAAACAACCAAGACCCCAAAAAAAAAACTTAGCTTTTCTACTTTCCCCACCGACAAATCACACTAAAATATGACAAACTTCATCAAACTGTTTTGAATTACTTCACACTAAATCATTCACATTCCAAGTCTTATACACTTTTATTTTAGAGCATCATTGCAGGACAGCCCAAAAATTAATTTTTTCCACTTGATATCTTCCAAGAACTTAAACCCACAAGAAGAAATAGCTCTAATATGAAACCCAAGAAGTAAAAATCGAAAAAAGGGAAATTTTTCTCGGAAATGGAAGAGGGAACTAGTTTCTGTTAATACCGGTGGGACTGAGAGCTGCCTGAGACAAAGAAATTCCTTTACATGATTTGATCGGATAAACGAACAAAGACGATACTCTCGCAGCAACTTCACTTGCCGGCGACGGTAACAACGACGGCGACAAAGCATTCTCCATCTCTTCTTTTTGGCGTTGACTCCTCCCGACGAACATAATCTTACATTTATTAGAATTTCATATATGACCCCATATTTATTACATTCTTTGATTAAAGCCTCAAACTTTTTTTTATGACAAAAAGATCCTTACTGTTACATTTACCCAACCAATTCATTTCTCTGTAATTTAACAGATGACCAAAGAGATCTTTGTTGTTCCCACTTTCAAAACCTTAATGCATATATCTTATCTACAAGAATGAAAAGAGTCAATAAAAATGACCCCAAAAGAAGTATTTTTCAAGATTAAACAAAGAAAAATTCCATCTTTAGCTCTTTATAATGACTTTTCCTTGAGGGTTAATTATAAATTTAAGCTGCAGAAGTTAATCTCAGCTGTTGCTGTTGAGATTCACCGGTCATTGGATCGGTTGTGTTTTGGCTCTCCAATGGCATGTACTGAGACATAATCGCCATGATTTCTGAATCCATATAAGACTGCATTTTGGTTTTGACACACACAAAATAATGATCATTAGATAGATTCATGATGGTGATGATGAGTTTGAAGATTAATTAAAGAGAAGAAAAAAATGTTTGGAAAGCATACCCTGAGACGATACTTGTAGAATACGTAACCACCTACACATACGCTTGCAACTGCAGCTAGAATCACAAACGTAAAGAACCATCCGATTCTTGATCCGCTTCTCTCTGCGAGAAATTAAACGAAAGAAACAAGAAATGAGAATATGAGTCTTGGATTGTGTCAAAAGAATCTGACAAAGTTTAGATCTTTATTGTTAGTTTCTTGACACTTACCGATACAAGTGTCTTGTTCTTTCATGTAGAGACGATTTCCAGAGCATTTGCATTCAAAGCCTCCCCATTTGTTCTTACAGTTGCATCCATCACATTGACAAGCTGATTGCTCCTTACATTCATCAATGTCTATAGTAGTAGATATAAACAAGATGAATCAGTTAAAGAAAACATGGTGAGAAATTTTGAAGTCTAGAGAAAATAAAAAGTTTTCACCTTCACATTTAAGACCATCTCCTTTAAAGCCTGGAGGGCAGCGACATCCCGATGTCTCCAAGTTCTGAACTCAACAATTGGAGAAAATTTGTCAAAAATGAGCAACTTATGGCATTGTTACTGAAAAAGCCAAAACATAGTAGAGTCACTTAACCGAGCAAGCGGAGAAAGTAAAGTCCTTTTTGGTTTCAGACCAGCAACCTCCTTGATTAATCGAGCATCTGGCAGGGCCATAAGCTGTTATAACATTCAACCAAAGATGACTTATTTTTCAAAACAGAACACAAAATGTTTATAATGAAATTTTCTACAAGATATAGATGTTAGTAGTTCAAGATCATACGTTCACATGAGGTATAGCCATCTCCTTTATACTGCACACCATTCACAACAGGGCATTCACAGACTCTTCCCCTAAATGTGTCCTGAAATAATCCATTTTCAGGTGTAAGACTAACCAAATAGCTATGAAAAAGTAGTCCATGAAGTTCATCGGTTATAATCAAGTACCTTGCAAGCTGTTACATTAGACTTCATGTCCTGCCAACACCCTCCATTTGCTTCGAGACATTCGTTTGTTTCGATATCTGTTTCAACAGTGTAAAGAAGAGTTCTTTAGTACATTCTATTACCACGAGAAGATCAGCTTAAAGGGAATTGATTTAACCTCCACTTAGACAGATTCCCGGTTCAGTTCTTTCCTTAAATCCTGAACATATAGCCTTTAGTACCGCATTTCTCTCGAGTTTACCTGAGAAATGAATCAGATTATAAACTTAAGCATCTTTAACTTTTCGGTAACAGACTGAGTTCTAGTTTCTAAACAAACATGTTACAATGAGATGGAATGAAACAAACCGCGGTATTGAGCATTGTTGACGATCAATGTTGGCAAGATTGTGACATCCCCGCGGTCACCTTGTCCTACCTATAAGTAAGAAAGAAGAAAAATCTCAGTGAATCGGTTTCAAAGACGTAAAATATATACGAATTCAAGAAGAAAACCAAGACCTGAAGCGCTTGCTCAGCTTTCAAAACTTCATTCTCCACATCAGCATCAGGATCACCAATACATTTCTTGATCTTGTCAAGTGGCAAACCTGAGAATAAGAGAAAAATCAAGACGCTGAATGTGAAAAAAAGGTGCGAAAAACGATTGTGATGTCACTTACCAAGAGATTCAACAACTTTCTCAGCACATTCTTTGCTATACTTCTTCTCCTTCATTGAACACCTAATGTGAAAATCAGTAACATAGTCCCACCAAACCCAAGACCGGTTATTCTCTTTTGCTACTCTATGAACACATAACTGTCTCAGATTCTCGAAAACAATGTCTTTGCCATCGTATCCATCTCCAAAGTCTTGTTCAGGGTCAGGTGCACAATACCTCCCTTGGTTGATACACTGAGACTTACATTGATTGCTAGAAACATAATCTTTAGGACAAAACCATGTAATGTAATGAGGTGTGAACAAAGAGTATCCTCCTTTTTCAAGAATCTGCGCATGCCCTTTGAAGTTCTTGACAAAATTCATCTGCTCATCGCACCGCGCACCACACTCATCATTCGTGTTAGTCCATAACTCATACTCAACTCTCTCATCCGGATGAGGTAATGACTCACTCCAGTCTATCTTCAGGACTACTTCCTCGCCTTTTTTAAGAGCTTGCTTGAGTGTATTGGCGAAAGAAAAGTCGATTAAAGCCGAAGGAATGTTGAGTTTCTCTATAAAGTCATCAGCTTCTTTGGATTCCTCAGGTGAATCCATAGTTATCAATGGCTCATCAACGTTATCAGCTACTAAAACTGCTGCTGCACCGGATTGTTGACCGTTCCATACCTTTAATGCAAAGTAGCACTCTAATGCAAAACAAAACAACGAATCAAAACCAAATATTTACCATTTCTAATTCTTCAATCATAAATAGCTTTATGTCACATATGTAAATAACAGAACTTTCTATATCTACACAGAAATATGGAACATATCAAATTGAAAGACTTGTCACAATCTCAATTACTTAAATTAGATAAAGCTTTTGAGTTCTTCTACAAACTAAATTGAGACTGAGACAAGTCCGGTATACCAGAAATTTGGAACATTACCAAATTTGCATTAATATTTGGATCAAAAGGAGATTGAAAGATGTAAAATAAGACTTAAAAAGAGATAGCTTTAAAGGTCTTCTCCAATTAAATTGAGATTGAGACAAGTCTCCTATGTAAATGACAAAACTTTCTATAATTTTGGATGATTGTCTAACTTGCAGAGGAATTTGGATCAAAAAGGAGACTGAAAGATGTAAAACTAAGACTTAAAAGAGAAAGCTTTTGGATTAATTATACAACAAAAATTTCATGTAAATGATAAAACTTTCTATTTCTGACCAAAAACTTGCAACTTGAAACATAATCTAATTTGCAGAAGCAATTTGAATGAAACAGTTACCTCCACGATCGATGATTAAAATGGTAGGACGAGGGAATTTGGGTTTGAAAGTTTTGTCAAAAGAGTCACATCCATATGCTCCTTGACCAGCGTAAACAACGGAACCGATCATGTAACCACCGTAATTAGGAACACCGAAGTTAGCAATGGCTGCATCGTGTTTAGACCGCATTGCCAAAGGGTTTAGAATCGTCACACTGCTCTTCTCCACGATGAATCTCCCGAAAACTCCGTTGACCACCATAGTCAACGCTAGAAACAGAGCCAAGATGGCTCCTTTATGAATCAAAGTCATAGTTTCTGATCAGAGAAAAAAACAGAGTTTGAAAACTTGGGCTTCGAATTTCTTTTGTGGGTTTTACGTTTGTTGCGTGAGAAAGTGTAAGCAAGTTAAAAAGTAATGATTTTTTTGAATTTTTTCTGTAAATTTTCCAGAGAAAATGAGATCTTAAACAGAGTTAGATGATTCAAACTTCTTCATTTCGATGAAAACTTTGCTTAAGATGAGAAAAGAATTGTGTTTGAGAGAAAAATGAATGTCTCTGTTTTCGATTTCTGGAGAAAAAGAGATGTGAGCGTAAAGTAAACGGGAGAGAAGATGACTTGATGACAGAGTCAGCGGAACTAACCATGTCTCTGCAACTACTGATTCAACAAACTTCTCTCTTTGTCATTTTTTTTTTTTCTAAATTGTTTAGAAGAAAGAAAAAATTATTTAACGTTTTCTTCGAATGTAAGGCAATCGTGAGAACCTATCATTTATTCAAAGTTCTAATCTTGAAGCTTAATCAAGTGGCAAAACGTTAAAAAGGTATGGGTGGCTTAAGTTTAAGTCCACAAGTTTCAATTTTTATCCGGACACTTTATATGTGAATCTAGTTACAAAATCATACTCTACCACAATAAGTAAAGTTTAAATAGTTTTAAATGTATAATGATCACAAAGATAAAGACAATGCTTACTTCATTGACTTTTAAAATGCAAAGTCTATTAAAGTACCATTTGGGTTAAGGTAGAATCATCCAAACGACGATGTGACAATTACTAGGAGACATGAATAGTTGCTTAATCAACATTGATTATTTAATGAGATATCCAACCTAATTGATAACTTTACCAATATATTTAAGGCAGACCAAGAATATGATGTGTTTTTTTAATAGATCATGATGTGTTTATTTTAATATAAGTTCAGGGAAATGGTTACAAACATGCATTTTTATTTAGCAGAGAGACCAAGCCTCTAATTATAAAATGATTAGAATAAATTATAGTTAGTACAATATGTATGTGGAAAGAGAGAAATTTTATATTCACTGAATAATGATGTTGATTAATGATTAAATGTCAATCCATATTCTCTCATTGGTTCTCATGCCAGCTTTTTTCATATACAAGAAGATAGAAATATGTATATTTTATTTTATCGAATTGGAATTCCTGCAACCCATAATAATGGTGATAAAATGGTAACAAAAAGAGACTAATACAATGATTCAAAATCACTCTTTCTTCACGTCATGCAAATGAATAGAATAGACAACAAACATACATTGCCAAATACCAAGAACGTTCAAATTACGCTACAAGTACCAATAAGAATTCACAAAAACGTATTTTTTGCACAAAATCCATTTCAAAGAAGCCAATTAACACTAATGTTCCCAAGCCATATCAAAAGAGGGAACTGGACCAAGGCTAAAAACAGCAGAAGGTAGTTATGTTTGCTCGAATCATAACTTCTTACTTCAGCAAATAGAACACGTTTGATCGTCTTCACCAAGAAAATCCCAGTGCATAGACAAGTCCATGGCATCAACGCGTAGTACGAGTATCCCCACATTATCTTGGCAAAACCCGCAAGACATAGACCAGCAAAAGCGTAGCCTCCGTATGCTACAATGTCAAGTAATGGCGCCTCTCCGCTACCAAGTGATAGAAGTGTTACTTTCAGGAGCATTACTTGCAAAAACCAACCAACCAATCCTTTCACAAACAGCCAATTCAAAGCTTCCGGTGTAAACCTAGAGAATTCGGGTATAAACAGATTAATAATCTTCAGTGTCCACATCAATCATTGAAGCCATAAGACTCAAATTCTAAGAGAGAAGCATAGGGAAAGGACTCATCGAAACTTACTTTCCATTAAGTCCCAATGAAAGGCCAGCAAGAACAACGTAGGTACCAAATGCCATAAACGGAATGTACAAGTCTGGAGCATTGATATCATAGATTGGAGGCTTGTATGAGAGCCTACCACCAACTGGTTCAGATATTCTAGTCCAATGTCCCTGAGGATTTAAAACAGAATCCACATTAGTTTAATTAACGGCTGGCATGAGAAGGTCTCAAACAGAAGAAGAAAAGAGAATACTCGCTTACCCGGTGTAGGAAAGGAAACAGAACAACCTTCAATTTGTTCCTCACATATTGATCATTCACTTGAAAATAGTATTGCGGATCAGAAAAGTACCTGCTTATCTGTTTCATTTCCAACAATGAGTCAAAATCAACTTCAAAACGATAAAAAATAGATAATACATGCGATATGGAGAATTCACTTACATTGCTCTGCACATACTCAGAGCTTGATCCTAAAATTCTCTCCCCGTACGCTCCCAAACCACCACGGATAAATCCCGAGCCAGCTCCAGTGAATGGATTTCCAAACGGACCAGGCTCAGGGTTTCCTGGAGGTCTTTGCATCCCAGGTTGAGGTCCCATGTTATTATACATCTCTGCCATCAAACCAAAACCATCACAATCAACACATCTTTATCTCACATCAACCACAAAACCACCACAATCAATAACAACTCCAACTTCAAAACTCTTTAACTCTTGAAACCAAACACTAATATCAACATTTACTTCTTAGATTCCATAGAATCTTCTTCAAGATTTCGATTATGTAAAGACTAAACTACAAAAGTCCGAGAATGATACAAAACTATTTATCACCAGATCCTAATAAGTCATAATCTCAATTCGTAATCACGAGAATGCAAAGCCAACTCTAGATCTATGATTCAACAGAAGCTTTCATGTTCAATAACACAATCAATACAAAGCTAAATCCATCGAAATTTATCAAATCTCAACGAAAGAGCAAAGATCTAATCCCTAATCGAGAAACAACAACAACACATACGAAATTACAAGACGAAGAACAAAATTCCACTACCGATCCACAAAAGAATATTACTAACCCGGAGATGAAGAGGTAGAGCTCAAAGCTTCGACGAGAAAGTTAGAGCTTTCTTCTAATGGAAACAATAGATTCTTCCTCAGAAATCAAACAGTGTTGTGATCTGCACGGAGACGAAGAAGGGTATTTCCGGGTTTTCCAATTCGAAGCCGTTCTTTTCTATTTATTTGGGCCTAAATTGGGCCAATAATTTTGCGAATAGGCTCTTAATATGGATAAGATAAAATTATACTAGTAACCAAACAGAACAGGAGCAATTTCTTGTTCCTCAATTAGGTTTAGACGATATAAAACAAATCCGACGCAGGAATCAAAACCCCTTTTGCCTCAAAACCCTAATTTCGAAACTCTCTTCAAGCTCTGATTACTTGCGCAACAATGGCGAAATCAATGAGATGCAAGAAAGTGAAGAGATTGAGAGCATTAAGAAGAGAAATTGTGGAGAAGGAATCATTCACTCTAACGAGAGAAGACGCCAAATCCGCCGCTATTGAAGCCGCACTCGCTGCTCCGAAGTTACCAGTTCGTCAACCACCAGTTTCTCCGTTTATGGAAGTTGCGACGCCGTCCTCTGAGTCTGCTTCTGCCACCACTACAATCGCCAACGATATGGGTATGTTCGCTTCGTTGAATTTGCTAAAGTTGCCTCTTTGATTTTGTTCGATTTCCTATTAGATAAGGTAACGCTTAAAGAATTGACATTTCTGCTAATCTTTAGGATTTGAAATTCATTAGAATCACTCATTTTTGTTGAAATCTTTGATGGGTTTAGTTCATTTCTCTTGGGAAAGTTATAGTAATGTGACTTATCAAAGTTAGTATTGGGAGTGCATAGCAATTTGCTAAGAGAAATATTTATCATTTTATCTAAAAGCTTTGTTGGTTTCTTGATATTGAATTTTGTGCACAATTGCATCTACAAGTATACTAGTTTCTGTTTAAGCTAAATTATTGTTTGCTTGATCCTTTTATGTGTAATATCTTTGAAAGTGTTGGTATTAAGGCTCTGTTCTGTTTTGGGATACTATTTGTTGTTTGCAGATGTGGAAATGGATGATGAAAAGAAAATCAAGTCGCTTAAACCTATCGGGAAGAAGTTGAAGAAGAAGTTTAAGCTGGGGATGAAGAATCGTCGCAGTAAGGGTGTCCTTCGAGGCAAACGAAACTAAATGGGTCTTGGCTTTCTACTACTGGTTTGTTTCTACTTGCATAATTAATTATGCTCTCTCTAAATTCTCAGGGTTCTTCAATGTTTAAGAATATATCATCTTTTGTACTGTGTTTTTTTCATGAGTTTCAGTCTTATAGAAACCCTAAAAACGTGATGTCGTCTGATTGTGCCTCCCATCTTTCATTTCCCTGCACCAGAATCTATCATCACAGCTATTTACTTGGTTTATTATAGTTAACGTTTAGGATTATTAGCATTAACATGATGATATATTTGTCTATGTTGGACCAATATAATAATGGTTCAAGTCAATTTGGGATAAATGTAAATCAGAAGTTGTAACGAGAATGATTCACAGTTTTTGTTGTTGTTTAGACAACAAGTTACAATAGAAAAGAGCTCAAAAATCAAACAAGAAATGACTTCAACAAAACAAAAGATTCTTTTAAAAACTCATGAGGGATAATATTTATTATTAGTAAGCTCTGGAGTTAGATTTGCTGCAAACCTTCCTGATCTCTCCGACACGATCTTCACCAGTGAGGACACCAACATTGACCAGCTTAGCCATTGACACAGCAAACTGTTGTCTGAACATCTGAGGTGGTTGCTCCGCGAAAGCCTTTACAAGTGGAGCTGTCCTTGGGTCCTTAACAAGCTCCTGATCAGTCGACAAAACTCCCATATGCTTCTGAAGATTAATGTAGTACTGATTATCGAACACTGCTGGAGTTACGGCGTCGAGCTCAACGGTCTCAGAGGCCCAGCGACACCTGCGTCGCAAGTAATCTGCGTATTTTGGGTCAATCGACGGATCTGAACCATTGGTTGCGTTGTAGTTGTAAAGCCTCGACTGGATGGTACCACAGTAGGCTTTTCCGATGGTGTGGGCACCGGAGAGGACAACTAGGTCGAGGATGTTGAGACCGTACGATTGAAACGTTTCGAGAAGGGCGGTAACATCACGGCGGCCTGAAGGGACTTTCTCAACGTCTCTAGCGTAAGAGTTTTTGGAATCACGACGACCGTAGACGTTGGGCCAGTAAGGACCACCGAGTTGGACGGTGGCAGCACGACTAGCTGATGTTAGGATGTCAGCGCATGAGACTAATCCGGGGCAAGATTTCTCCATCTCAGACTTGATATCGTCGATTAGCTCGAAGCCTCTTAGGCTTTTGCTCGCCGAAGATCTTCTCTCTGTCCCTTCGTAGTCTAGAAGAACAGACGCATCACATCCCTGAAAGTTGTTAATTCATTTACAAAATAGTCAATTTATTATCTTTTGAAATGCTTATCTATATTAGATATGGGCAAAAACACTAAGGTGCGTTTATGCATAGAATAAATCTCGTAAGTCCGTCTTCAAAATATTAAGAAACTTATATCTATTGACTATTAATATTCTAAATATGGTCTAGATAGACGAAAGAACAATTCCAACCTCTAATAAGTGAGACCCATTTTAGAACAATGTAAACCATATTTTTTTTTTTTTGGTAGGACAATGTAAACCATATATGAATCAAAAACATTGGCTTACACAGCATGAAGTAATGTTAAAATAATTACTAAGCAATTATTGAACGATTAATTAATGTTAAATAAATATTTAAGGAAGAAGATATAATTGCAATACCGTGACACCACAGTCGTGGAAGATAAGGCGGAGGAGGGCGGGACCAAGGGAAGAGTCACTCTTAGTCCATTCCCTCACTTTCCTATCAACGATTTTCTCAAAATCTGGACAAATCCTATCATAGTAATTCAACGATAATAGATTGTCCAAAGGAAACCATGACTTTGTATCATCATCGTCATCGCCTCCGTATCCTCCCGATCGGGGTAAGTCTTTCCGGCTAGCCGATACCGGCCAGGCCACGAGAATCACCAGTAGGACGACGACTGAGATCACGGCCAACTTCATTATTTTGCTTTCTTGATATCTATCTCTATTTGATTGGCTTTGATGATTTTGTTTGATGAGAGGTGTGTTGTGCGAGTAACTTATATATTGCATTTGGAAATTAATGGGATGCTTTTACGTGGGAGGCACAACTTTTAAGATTTGAATATTCATGTGACTTGCCTGCATGTCGTATATGTAATGTTTATTATAAATAATGATCTTTGCATTATTTGAAATCAGGGTTTTGACTTATTTGGATTAGATTAATTGTAATATTTTTTTGTCAACTTCGATTGGTTTATTTTAGTCTGTCCTTGGTCGGTTATATGATACTAGCTATTATTATTTATTTTGTTTTTGTCTACAATTCACAAACGTATATTTACATTGGACGATGATGACATATCAAAGCATGTTAAATCGAAATTAACAATTTTCTTGTACAATCATACATGGATTTGCTCGGATCCTCTAACAAAAGTAGCAATATTATAGGCCACGTTTATTGAGCCCTACCAAAACTACATTAGTAAATCACGACCAAGTTAGTAAACTAAGATGCTGGTATTAGTTTTCTCATGAATTTTAGCTATGGATTCTAAAGTTTTTGGTTTCTAACTAAATCCACCAAATACCTAGTTAAAAAATTAAAGTTGCATGTATAGGGTTTTGGGTACTAGCTAGATTAGTAGATTTCATATATTTTATTCACAAGAGTTCAATATTATCGTTAACCAAGTAAAGTTACAAAAACAAAATATTAAATTTCCAAATGGATCTTTTTCCAACGCATCAATAGAACTAGTTGGTGAATTGACGAGTGAAATTCATAGAATCTTCATTCTCTTACAAATCATCCACAATGTCTTCAAATTACTTTCATTATGACCAATATGTTAAATTGTTAATATCTAATGTTTGATCAACATATATAGCCAATTCATCGATTGTGAGTTGTTGCGTTGGAACTTGTTTTACGTATCGTACATCAGTTTTTAATCTTCATCTTACTTTGAAAATTTTTTAAAAACCATTTCTTGTACAATTCATGTTGAAAGTTTTTGGTTGAACTAAAATCCCCCTTTAATGAAGACATGATCATGAGCATGTTCAAAAGGATTATTAAAAATATATTTGTTGAGATAAAATCATTTTCAGAAAATTGAAGGCAAATCTGTATGTATTTTAAATTTTATCTTAAAATGATTTGTATATTAAAAAATTATAGATTTCAGTTTATATATATACACTTACAAAAAAAAAAAAAATTCTCAATCAGAGTTCAATAATCTCACTTGCATGTGATAATAGACGGCTTTTCTGATCAATAGAAAAATCTCAAACTTAATTTTATTCCTATTTATATTACCATGCTTGTCAAAAAGATAAAGATAAATTTGATAGTTAATATGAGACTATTTAGATTAGTTTTTATCGATCACCACTTTTAGTCAGGTTTATACTAATCATTCAATTTACATCTATGTTGAAGTGGAGAAGTAGATCACAGTTCATCGTAATTTAGTCTTACGATTTGATTCTATCTTAATAATATCCTAACACATGAATCTGTAGGTCGCATGTTCGATCCACGTTCACTTGACTGATAAAATTCATTGTTAAAATTTTCACTTATTTATCAATGAACACGATATACAAACACTTTAAAAACCAGTTTCTCTCTCAATACTCCAAAGTCTCTCAACTTATAAATAGTCCAAGAAAACCAATTCGTTGTCCAATTCTATTATATATGGTGCTTACATGCCTATCAGCATACCCACCACACTTACTAAATGCAAAGTGGAAAGAGTTAGAAGAAAGAGAATGAATACCAAGATAATAGTGTAAGCATAAATGATATATATTTTGAAAGTTGTTTCAATCTTTGTTTTGTCGATACCTTCATTTCTAACCTAATTTAAATTTTTAATATTTTGTTTAATTTTTTCTGACTATTTATTTTATTTAATTTAATTATTTTGTTAACATGATTAATGATGTGGCATATAATTTGATTACATGATATAATGATGCGGCATATAAAAGTGCATGGTTCCCCACTCGACAACGGCTAAATTCCTCAACGGCTCCATTTTGACTCTCGCATTTAGGAGCCTAAATCCTTAATAATTTAATTACCCTTTAATTAGTATAGTAACCAAATGCTTTATTTTCTGGCATTACTAATTAAATGTTTTTACAAGTATAATGACATTTGTTATACAATACCTTTTAATTTTCTCCAAAATTGTAGCTTTTTAGTTTTCTACAACAATTTATCACTTTTGGCCACATAAGGCTTTTCCTCAACACCTCATCCTCTGTATTCTTACACCTCATTCTTTATTCCCTTATTTTACAGACACGTTCCCAAGTTTAAGGGACAAAACAGAGCCATTTTAGGACTCACACATTTAAAAGTCTTATTACTAAACAGATAAGCACAAATACTGTTTCATTGGTTCTGTTTCTTCTTCTTCTTCTTCATCGTATCTATCTCCACCAATTGTTGTTGTTCTGTTTCTTTAACAGGAAAAAACAGAGAGAAAAATCTGTGTTTTCACTAACCCAAAACAGAGTTGTCCTCTAACTTCTTTCGATCGCTTCAAAACTCTAATGGGCATTTGAGTTTGTGTTCGATTTTTCGATTCTTAGATTGTTAAAAAAATGGCGTCTTCTCAAAGATTCGGTTTAGTCTTAAGAGATCGTAATCAAAACGCTGGCGTTTACCAGACGAATCTGAAATCTCCGGTGAAAGAGGTTTTCAAATTTCATGTCTCCGATGAGAATTTGGTCGATTCTTGGATCGAGACTCACAATAACAAGAACAATCGTGTTCTTGAATCTCCAGTAGAATCGAAGAGAAATGATAGTCCCGGTGCTTCTTCTCTGGTTCAGATATGGGAGGCGAGGCTAAACCGATCCAACGGCGGAAACTCGCCGAGCAGCTGCCAATCGACGGTGAGTAGTAGTCGGAGCGAGTCAGGACTCGGTGTTCAGAATTCCGGTCTTTCAGAATCTTCATCAATCGACGGAGATTCTGAATTTGTTGATCGAACGGTGGAGATTGAATCTAGGTCACATGTTTTGGTTTCTGATTCTGGAGAGAGCAAATGGGGACGAGTCGCTGACCTAATTCGGAGACTTAGCAACGAAGAGAAGAAACTAACCGCCGGAGATAATGGCAGCGGTGGTGGCGGTGGACTCACGATTGTCAGAACGCCGAGGCCTTGTTGCACTTCGTCGTCGTCGGAGAAAAGTAATTTTCCGGTGGTTAGTTTCTCTCCGAGGATTCGAGGACGGCAAGCGTTTACCGATTTGCTTATGCAAATGGAACGCGATCGCCACCGCGAATTGGATTGGCTTCTTGACCGCAACGCAGTTTCTAGGTTTACTCAACGTGGTCGTCTCCAGTCAATGCTAAAGCTAAGGAACCTCAATAGCTGTCTTGCGATTCAAGATAGAAACCGGTCTAACGCAAAAACAACCGGATCAAACCGAATCGGATCAGGCTCTGCAGTTCTGCATTTAAGGTTTTGTTCAGAATCTCTGTTCTATGTTTTGAGTTTAGTTCTTAGGGTTTACTTTTTCTGATCCTCGATCTTTGAACGACAACGCAGGGAGAAATTTCATGTAAACGCTGCGGCTGCAGCAGATAAAAGGAAGAATCATCAACGATCCGCTGAGATATATAACAAATCCGTAGAAGAAACAGAAGGAACTACTACCACAAGCATGAGGTTGAAGAACGGCGGTCTTACTCTCGAAGCTTTTTTCGCAGAGCGTTTGAGAGTCCGTAACCGCAAGATAGAGGAAGCAACCTTATCTAAGGAAGAAGAAACAGTAAGTGGAAGTGTTGAATCAAAAACGAAATGCCTTCAGCTGCAAGAAACAAAAGAAGTAGAAGAAACTTGCAATGATGGCGAGTCTGAGAAGAAAGAAGAAGAAAAGACAAGCCCGAGCGGATGTTTGACTCAAGAATCGCGGTTGAGACAGAATCAAGGCGAGAACAATGTGGAAAAGTATATGCAAGAAACTCGAGAAACAGAAGGTCTGGTTCATGATAGTAATGAGATGGACCAGTGCCTTGATCAACAAGAAACGTCATATTTGAATAGATGGGGAGAACAAGAAGAGTATGAAGATGAGCAGTCTTATTATGGAGAACCGAATGACGACTGGCTTAGTGAAATATCTAGGCCTCGGAGTTACTGGGAGGAATTGAGGAAGTCACGGTACCTGGAAGTAATGAACACTCGGTCTGAGAGAGAGGACATACGCAGACTCCTTGAGCGGTAAGTAACATTGAAATCAATAAGCCATGTTTCTTTATGCTTAACCATTGACTAAGAAAATGTGTTTTCTGCGAAATACAGGAGAACTGTGACAGATTTTCTGGAGAGCGGGTTGCGAGAGAAGATCGATAATCTCATGATGTCCCGCGTGCAGACACACTCAAATAAGCACTCTGAAAAATGGGAATTGCAACAAGAGGATGAGGAAGAGAAAAATGAAACTGAAGAAGAAGTCAAAGAAGAAGAGCCATTAGCGAAAGGCGAAGAGCAAGACGATAGAGATGATTTGAGCCAATCTTCTTCTTCACAGATATTTGCATCGTCTCCTGCAGGATCATGGAGTTCTCAAGACACTGACGTGACTTCCACTCCTGTCTTATCTGTTCACAATCCTCATTCACCTGTGAGTCTTTATCGATTTCTTGTTATACAATAGAAACTCGTAACCGCACTAATGGAAGAATCATTGAACCGCTTAAAAACGTTTTTCAGGAAATGGAGCTGATAAGCGGTATGAGATCACAAATCCAACAGCTTCAGCAAGAAATGTCAGTACTACGAGATTCTGTCAAAACGTGTTTAGATGCTAACGCGAGCTTACAACAGAAAGTTCACCGAGAAAACCCAATGAAACGAAAATGCTGCGTCTGCGACGAAACACAGGTCGAGGCGGTTTTGTATAGGTGCGGACATATGTGCATGTGCCTAAAATGTGCCAACGAACTACACTGGAGTGGAGGGAAATGTCCGATTTGCCGAGCTCAGATTGTGGACGTTGTTCGTGTCTTTTTCGATACAAGTAACTGAAATAAACCGTTTTAAAAACGCTGACGAATTCTCTAACCCATTAGGCCATTACACCCTCTTTTTGTTCTTATCGCGTTTGCGTTATTTGGCGTTTTGGATCTGAATATCGTATTATGCTCTCTTTATACAGTATTAGGTTATGTTACCAACATTTTGTCCAGTTTTAAGAAGCTTTTGATCACCTAACACAACCAAATAAACTAACAGAAAATTACTTGAATAAACCTTAAAACCTGGAGATGAAAGTCACAAACAGAGAGCTTCGAAACAAACATGAAAAATTGAATTTTGCAATTACAATTACTCTTCTTCAACTTTTATTTCGCAAAGATTCAACAAAGCCACACAAACCCTCAAAACTTTGAGATTAAAGTTAGAAACAGAGCTTCTAAAGCAAACACTAAAAATTCTACTTTTGACTTATTTCAGAAACATAAACCCTTTGTCGATTTTGATTTCTCAAAGACTCAACACTCTTTCTCTCCATAATATTTACACATCATCCGTAGATACATTGCATTCATACATACATATTAAAAAAAAAAAACTCTCGGTGTTCTGTTTTTGGTTTCCTTATTCAAGAGTTTTGTGCGGTTAAGAAGGTATTGAAGTCATCTCTAGCCTTACGCAAACGTGGAGTGATACAAGTTCGCGGCGAAGTAGGGCACGAAACTGAAGCCGATGCAGACGAAGTCGAGAATCTTACACGACGTTGCGGTGAAGTCTCAGCTGATCGCCGGTGATCTCGAGTACTCCTCGTCTTTAAAACGCTTCTAAGAGCCAAAGTCTCTGTTTCTCTATCGAACAAGAATCCGGAAGTCACCGGTTCTTGCACATCTCTTCCTCCGTTTCCACCGCGGCTGTTGCATTTCGTCATCTCCATCGGAAGATCGAAAAACAACCGACCGTTATCTTGAATCAGAGCTGTCGTCGATGCCCAAGAACCGCATTCGAATTTCTCTAGCGAGGCGCGTACAGAAACAGTTGATCCCGTGAAGGAAGAAGCTCTAATCATCTTCTTTCCCATCGAATCTTGGCGTTTCGAAGAAGATCTAACTGGCTTGTTTTTCCCGAAGCTAGGTAGAGACAAGCAGAAGGCGTTACATTTGAAATCTTCTTTCTTGTAGAGAATCTTCTCTGAGTAACGCGATTTCGTCATAAATATGACTGATTCTTGGTGGCTAAGCTTCTTCCGGACTCTCATCGGCTCCGGGAGCATAGGAAGCGGAACTGCGGAGTCTCTAGGAGGAGGCATCGCAGGCGGCAACACAATCTTGAAGCTATCGTCTCTTGTCGAAGAACGGGAGAAAAGAGGATTGGTTGATTTCTCGCTATGCAGAATTGCCTTCTTAACCAAGAAATTGAAATCAGGGTAAGGGTTAGGGTTTTTGTTTTCTCCGGGAAAAACTCTGAAACCTTGCCACTCATTGTCGTTAGATTTCCGGGCTAAACCATCGTCAAACGTAAGCATTGCCGGAGGAGGCATAACTAGATTGTCAACGGGAAAAAAAATTAATAGATTTTGAAAGATGGGTTTATAATTTTACGGGTAAAAAAATATGCAGAGGATAGAGATATAAGTAGTAGGAATATAAAAGAAAATGGTAAGCACGTTCATGGCAAAAGTAGTGACTTACATGTCGGTTCTATCTTTGTCCTAAGATTTTGACATGTGGTTACTATCATGAATATTAAAATAAAATGAGAATTCAAGGGAAAAAAAAAAAAGATTTGATTTTTCAATTTTAGGATGTTTGATGGAGACCGATGAAATGGTTTGCACGTAGTTTATGACCTGATCGTTTTGAGTTTAGTAAACCTTTGTGTGTGTGTGTGTGTGTGTGTTCTTCTGTCTCTCTTTATAGGTAAGTCAACACTTTTGTTTTGTGACCTGTGGAATTAGTTCTACTTAACAATACGAATCAAAATTACTCATTAAAAGCCAAGAAACATTCGAAGTAGTACAAAGTCACATGCATGTGTGTTCGCGCGGACATGGTACATCGAACTTGATTCTCATTTTATCTGAAAAATCAAACACCTAACAAATTAATGTAAAAAAGGTTAAAGAAAGTGTTGGTCTAAAACACAAAGGTTTAAGAAAGTATGAGCCTTTTCTCTTTCCTTCAACAAAAATAAAAAGTGTTGAACTTTTCTGTGCTTTTTTGGCGTTCTACAAATCATGGAAATACTTGATAAACCACTAAGAGAGTCCAATTGTCAAATGTTGACAAGCGCTTCTTTGAAATGTTCCATATTGTTGGATTTGGAAAAAAGATGATTACATTTTAGTAGATATTTTCCCGTTAGCTTTTACTCCACACTGAAGTACTTATTTGGAATTGTCCCCCTCTTTAACGTAAATTACATAAAACAAAAATCGACATGATATCCATTATTACAGCTGTGTGTAAATTTATTCATGAGCAAACTATAGTCCATGACAACAAACTAGACAAAGACAAACACATAATAAAAGAAACAAAACAACTTCACCTATCAATTATCATTCAACTGGCGAACAATAGGGTAGGAGGAATCAACGTTCCAAATTTGATTGTGCCCCAATATATAGTCCTTTACTTTTAACTTCCAATTTCTCCTTCGTATTTATTAACATGTCGGTTTGCCTAGAATCCACGTATTTATAATGAAATCTAAATTTAGTCGGTGAGAATTTTTAAGTCGGTCTCGTTCTAAACCTCTTCTTCGTCAGTTGCATGATTGGTCAGTCACTTTGTTTCTTTTATTTGATCTTGATTTTTTCGCCTTTTTGATGTAAATAGCTTTTTTTTGTTCAAAAACAATCGACCTGATATTCACTATATATAGCTGTTGTTAATTATCTTTGTGTGTTTCATCTTTTTCCAGTAAATTAGAGTCCAAGAAAATAAACTTGACAAAAGAAAATATAAAACAAAAGATTCAGAGCAACTGACCGATGATGGCAAAGAAAAGGGCTTAAATGAGACCGAGTTTATACTTCTCACCGCAGTTCGACCTGTACTCCGCCACCATGGAGATATTTTTGTTTTGTGTCCATTTCCATGAACCCGCAATTATATCACAAATGGAGGATCCAACCGAACAACTTGACCCGAAACACTTCCACTTGGGTTCTTGGTCTGCCAATATCATCACCATCGTGTGAAGTGCTTCTAATCCTCACGCTAGAGACGTTAACACGAAATGCTTCATCTGCAAACGACCGAACTCGCGGGAGTATCTATTCAACATAAAGGATAGTGGATAGTCGATTTTACAAAGATGATGTTAGTAGCTATTTTACAAAGATGATGTTAGTAGCTATTTACAAAGATGATGTTAGTAGCTATTTACAATTTAAAGTTTAAGTTTGATTTGGTTGAGGGGAGAAGTTGATAGGGTTTCTTTGTCCTCTTTATAGCGAAGGGAGGTGTAGCTAGTGGATGTACTATACTTTAGCTATATAATCATTCGTTTGGTTGTGCCAATAAATACGTATTAAATGATAAAATCGTATATGTATCAACTCTGCTAAAAACATTTCTTAGTTTGTCAAATTGAAAAGTAAAGACTCTAGCTACAAGAGAATTAAACCAAATTGGCATATTGGTTAAACATGTTCCCCTTTATCAAATAGCCTCTAAAACTCAAAACTCAGAACAACTTAACATGTATAATTCCTTTCAACCAAAAGTAGCCTTCTCCAAAACAAAAGCTATTATATCAATTCTTGATTAATCCGAGCTAACCTTCTTATCGACACTCGACTTACTGAGGATTAGAACTCCGATAGTGATCGATAAAGCTCCCGCAAACCACTGCCAAAATGTATTAAAATGTATTAGCCAAAACTCATTAAACTCACAAACCCATATATCACATTTCACCATAACAATCTTCAATGTCTACAGACTTTGATCATCACTTTCACGACACATAACGTAAAACATGTTTTCAAGATCAAAACTTACGCGAAACGATAACGATTCTTGAAAAAGAAAGAGTCCAGCTAAACCAGAAGATAGAAAATTAGCAGCAAAGTTTGTGACAGTAGCTTGTAGAGAGGACAAAGCTCTTAAACTGTTAACATAACATGCCCACATAACCACATTGCAGATTACAACTAATCCATACTTAATCACCTGTAAAAGATCAAAACTTACGCGAAACGATAACGATTCTTGAAAAAGAAAGAGTCCAGCTAAACCAGAAGATAGAAAATTGGCAGCAAAGTTTGTGACAGTAGCTTGTAGAGAGGACAAAGCTCTTAAACTGTTAACATAACATGCCCACATAACCATATTGCAGATTACAACTAATCCATACTTAATCACCTGTAAAAGATCAAAACTTTTTTAAGTAAATTTATCAAACTCAACCAAAACTAGTGATTGAAAGAACAAAACTTACGAGAGATGAGAAGAACTTGGCTGAAATGGCGGCAAGAGCTGCATTGAGTCCAGCTGAAATTGCCCAGATATAGCCTCTTTTCTTCAACTGTGCATCAGCCATGGATTTAACCAAGATTCTGGAAAAAAAAATTGCATACATTTCAAGATCCATAGCATCGATTAGTTAGTTTTAATCGAATTGGTTTTTTTAGGGTTTAAAGAAATTTGAAGTATTCTAATCAATTTCCTTACCTTCGATCGCCGAAATTCAACGATTTTGAGAGCTATCAAATCTGAAAATTGAACAAGCAACAGAGAAAGAGAAATTGAAATCTGAAGAATACGTAGTTCTAAAAAAAAAAACACCAAATGGTTTATGGGCTTATGGCCCATTTAAAGAATTCAAAGCCCATTATTATATATATTTTTTTTTCCTCAAAAGCCCATTATTTTATCAAACAGAAAAATGCCAATTTTTTTTTTTTTATAAACCCTATCGGCTATCCGGTAAGAACGCACCAAGGTGCTACATAGTGGACTGGTCCACCGTGTTAACGGTTAGGTCCTTACGGACTACTACTCTGCCTATCCCGAGTTTGGAATGCCTTCCGACTAAATGCCAGGGGTAGTCAGGCCGCCTGCATTTCTGGCTACCAGGTAAACCAATTGGGCCAAGGCCCAACTGACAGACTTTCCAAACAAATGTGTTTTTGTTTCCAGAGAAAATCGAAAAAAATGCCAATTAAATTCCACAACCATATTTTTAGTCTTGCTTATCTTGTAAAACGTAATGACCTAATAGTTTACTACAGCTAGCAGTTATATCTTGTGATGCCAAAAAAAAAAGACGTATATTATGAAACTATGTACACTTCCATGAAATGATTTATCCTAACAAGAATAATTTATCAAATGATATTTGTATAAATTAAGACTTGGAATCTTTATGTGACCTTAATTTATCAACTCTTGTATATATTTTAGAAATATCTAGTTTCAGTATGCATCCATGGACTCTTACTTCAAATCTAGTTTTCTCAACTTATATAGGTGAGAAAATGAAAGGGAAAAAGAAAAAGAAAACACAAAAGTTAGATTTTGATGCCAATATTATAATAAATATTTGAAAATATATGTGGGGGAGGGGGATTAGTGAAGAGTTTAGTTGGTGAAAAGTGAAAACCTTCGTATGTCTTCCACATAATCATTTCATCATTAGAAGCATTTATGTGTGGGTCTAATTATTTATGTTATTATTCTAAATTTATAATGATTAATCTCATTTGTATCTCTAGTAGACGTGATAAACATTACGAATATCCACTTTTAATTACATTTTTTAAGTTGAAAATTTTGATCTAAGAAAGAAAGAAGGCGGCACACTTTGCTTTAGAGGTCGAAGATAGTTTGCTACGGTCCTACGGATACTTTATACGTCGATTTACTGAGTACATTTATATCTTTATTTTAGTTTAGCTATTTTCTTAATGGACGTTTAGAGGACTAATGGTTTTAGACACAATTATAAAACGTTAAATTGTATATTTATATTCTAATGGGATGGGATTATGGATAGCCGAAGTCGTGTTTTGCGTGCCTTCTTTTGTTCTGCGGTACGAACTCTCTCCTTCTTTCTTTTTTTTTAGATTTGTTTAATTAGAGAAAACCTAATTGGACTAGATTTGAGATGTAGCAATACTATAGCATCTATCTTTACATATCTAAACTTGTTTAAGTAATGAGAGTAATGAGATTATCGAGATATTGTGGACGATCGGATGAGCAGTTGTTTGAAATATCATTAACAATAATATAAAATAATTCATGTCCTCTTTCAAAGCTTCTCTACCAATTTTACTACTGATAGTGATAATTGTTTGGCTTATCACCAGGCTTTATCACTCTAAAACAAACAAACAAAAAACGATAGTAATCGACAGTAAAGTCAAATGATAATTGATAAATACGTGAATAAGAATTAGCAAGTTTGTTTTGTTAGCGAAATCAAGACTATTTCTATTTTGATGATTATTGATCTTCGTAAATTTAATGAAAACTACAAAAGAAATTTGTCACTTTGCAGTTATTAGTTGCATTTATTGTTTTCTCTTTTAATCATTCAACCATACTATTCTATATATTTTTGTTTGTTTAAAAGAAACCACGATTCTACGGTTTTGTAATGTTGACCAATCAAAATCTATATATACATTTTTGGATCACAATTAGCAAATAAATCCTGAAGTTGAGAAGTATTTACAATGGCATGCCATTAGCATTAATTATTTAGATTTGTTTTATTTAAGTAAAGATTTTTAAATGAAATTCATTTCTCATATATTTAGCAAAAGTCTCTACAAAATCTTTCCTTAAGTAAAGATTTTAAAATCAAATAAGTTTTCAACAATTTACCAAAAATCTCTACACAATCTTTTTAAAAATCTCGACTTAGTTAACTTCTGATTTTTATCTACAAAAAAAAAATTAATAGTAACGAATGATGTAAAAATCGGGAATGTTGATACTTGATACTACAATTTCTTCTACTTCTATTTTTTTTTCATATAATGAAAATTATTTTTTAGGGATATTTTCTCAAAACCTCTAAATACAACAAAGGATTTCAAAAGATAGCTTCTCTTTTGGCGGGTCGACACGCAAACCCGCAACTCTCTACGGGCTTATCCGCATGAACCTGCGACCCGTAGTGGATAAAAATATTATTCAAAAAAAAATAACAAATGATGTTTAATTTTACGGAACGGGGTTATATGGTGTAACGGGTTTAGATCGATATTAATATTAAACAATATACTTTGGATGAAATCTTAGAATTAAAAATCAAAATTTAATTATAAAATCAGAAACACTAAACAAAATAAACAATATTAACAAAACAAATACAACTTAAAATTTTGCTAAATAATTTTTTAGTTATAAAAAATCAACCCGCGGTGTACCGCGGGATAAAATCTAGTCTTAGAATTAATTAAGGGAATGAAAAACATGATTCCTAATTATATGATTGGTAAGGTAAATTATTCAAGGAACGCGGAATATATATTATGTTGCTCTAGATATTAATAGTATATTACCAATACCAAACCCCAAACCTTGGAAACGTAATTAATTTTTTAAAAGCAACAGACCATAGCATCTATCTCTGTGTCTAATGTAGGTTCTTAGGCACAGTCTTAGGTACCAACTCTGTCAGAGTTTTGATGTATATTGGTATGATAATAGACGTGTGAACCTCTTTATTACAGCTCAAATCTATGATCTATAATCTTTGAAGTTTAATCCCTAAACCTAAAACGAAGCAAGCCCACTTTCAATTATATATCCCTAATATATATAACAACATGTGTTTTTTTTATATATTTTAAGTCTATATTTATTATTTTATTTAACCAATCTCGATCATTTTTGGGGTTGCTTAATGGCGTAATTCATTAGTCATTCATTACATACGCACTTTCGTTAATCATGCCTTCTATATTTTATTTTATTCACCCCTAAAGTCCATTCATTGTATTCTCAGTTCTTTTGAAAATATTTCATCGATCAAAAGAGATAATCTATATAACTAAATTTTGGGGTGAATAAAATCTAGTTTATTTAAACAACTTTCACATTGACAAATATTAGATCGACGAGTTTTCATGCTTTTCCGAATGTACCTATACGGAAAAATGCTTACTTATTCTGCTTCCTCGTTTTTCTAATAGTTATTTTAGTATATACAGATTTTGTAGATTCATTACTACCAGTTTATAATATACATGATAGTTATATCGTTTGTTTCCTGAATATAATTGGACCAAGATTCTTATAGACAGAATTTATTTGACCATTTTTCATTTTATGTGGAATTATGAGATTTATTGATTAATGATAATGTTTACATTGTAGAGTGGTGTTTATAACACGTCATGGAAACATACATTACCCTACACTGGATCACAATTTCGATATAATTTGTGGTTGAATCAAAAGCAACAAAATTTTGGATTTTGTGGGCTCTAAGAAATTTACTAGAGTTTAAAATATAAGTGAAGAGCCAGAAACCATAAGAAAAAAGGATAATAAGAAAAACCCATCTTTTTCATTTTAAAGTGCTCAAAGAAAAATACAAAAACTAAAGGAGCATTAAGGAGACAATGTTCGTAAATAACACCGAGTTAATGCCAAGCTGCATCATCACCATTAAGCGTGTCTCTTCTTTATTTCCTCATTCATTTTATTAACACTCTAATTAACCATCATGATCATCATTAATATTTGTCTAATTGGAATCTTATAGATCGTGAGCACTTTCATTTTCTTTGTTTGGTATGTTGTTTCCCATAAACGACAACTTTTTTCCTTTTTTGTTGTTTTATATGTTATTGGATGTAAGTGTAACAGGTATATTTTTATGGCTATGATTGGTAACCGGTACCGCTTTGACAGTTACCAATCACAAAATTTTTATGAAAAGCGGTACACTATAAAAAAAAAAAACTGTTTTTTAGACAAAAACAAAAATAAATTAAAACGGTTACGGTTAAATACGGTTACGGTTAAATACGGTTATAACGATTACGGTTAAATACGGTTATAACGGTTACGGTTAAATATGGTTACGGTTACAACGGTTACGGATAATTATGGTTATAGTTATTTGATGACTACAATACGGTTAATATCGGAGGCGAAATCTTACGAGTTACCTAACTTATTATAATACTTTTCATAAAATCAAAAAATATGTTACAAACAAAATTTTCTTCATTTCGAGCAAAATAACAGTATAACATATTTGTTTGAGAAAAAGACCATTTTTTATAACGTAGATTTTTTCATATGCGGTATCATTTACTTTTTTGAAAATCTTAATCTGAATATTCGATAAATTTTTTTGCATTATATGGAGTTACAATTATATTTTTAAAGTTTTAACTATGCAGTTAACCATATGGTTAAATAACGGTTTTCATATGTTTACCGTTAATTAACGGTTACGGTTAATATATTTTTTAACTGTAACTAATTATTTTTTACGGTTACGGTTTTAACCGTTTTTATACGGTTACGGT